AAGGGAAATTGCATGGAAATGGAAGGAGACCCTCAGGGTTATACAGTGGAGGGGGTAGAGAGAGAGGAGGGGAGGGGAGGGGAGAGGTGGGGAGGGGGGAGGGGGGAGGATGGGAAAGGCAGCGGAGCACAACAGACACTAGTATGGCAATATGTAAATCAATGGATGTGTAACTGATGTGATTCTGCAATCTGTGTATGGGGTGAAGGTGGGAGTTCATAACCCACTTGAATCAAAGTGTGGAATATGATATGTCAAGAAATTTGTAATGTTTTGAACAACCAACAATAAAAAATTAAAAAAAAAAAAATGACTGGGATACAGCTCACTGGTAGAGCACTTGCCTAGCATATGTTAGGCCCCAGATTCAATCCCCAGTACTGCAAAAGAAACAAAAAACAAACAAAAAAACCCATCAAATAAATAAAAGATTTTTGTTCAAACTGAAGAAAATTAACATTGTCAAATTTAGACCTGATGAGAACAACTACATTACTTTTTGGTCCATTTTTTAAATAAAATTGTATATTAGTTTGATTACAATAGTTTTATGTAATATTAGAACTGATATAATTGTACAGTAATTTTGCTTCATAAGTAGTTTTTCTTACTAATTAAAAACACAAGCTCACATTTTCTTGCCCAGAACTACATAAGAAGTTATCTTAAGTGAAACAAAAACTAAGAAAAAAAAACACATAAAATGAAAAATAATAAACACATAGAAACTGTACAAATTCCCCTCTTCTAAATTTTGACATCTCATACAACATTGCCTTTTTTGCCTTAGCCTTGGAAAAGTCACATTTTCTACAATTAAAATAAGAATGTATAATTTGTAGAATTTCTTTAGATGGGCCTCCCACCCCTACCACCCCAACTCCACAAAGGATCATAAGCATTCCTATCTTCTTACTTTAACTTCCACTATTTCCTCTGTTTATACTGTCCTTTCTTCTCTCTTTTTTAAAATCTCATCCAAAGTTCAAAAGATTGTGACAATAAAAGGGATCAATAATTGATTTTTTTTCTCACTGATCTTTTTTTTTACTCACATGGTCATAAATATAATTATCACATATTTGGAACTGAATAAAAATATTTATAATATTTAATTATATTTAATTTATAATATAATCATACATAAAAATATAAAATATATAAATATAATTATATTTAATTTATGATATATAATATTTATAATATTTTTATTCAGTTCCAAATATGTGATAATTATATTTATGACCACATGAGTAAAAAAAAAAAAAACCTTCATCAATGAAATCATTCCTAACAACTCTAATCCATGGTGGTCACTTTTCCTTCTCTGAACCACTCATTTGGCATTAATCCCATATCTCATTTGTGACCTCTTTAATACTGCTAAGTTGTATTATAATTTCATTCTTGTCTGTCATTTAACTTCTCTGTGTATATATTTAGATCAACTAGACTTCAAACACATTAAAGGCTGGACCTGTGTTTTATATTTATATGAAGCCAGTAAAACATGTGCTTCTATCAAGTGTTCCATAATTTGGTGATTATATACTTTAATTTATCTATAAGGAAATATAAAACACTGCAAAGAAACATATTTATTTTGATTATGATTCACAAACCTTCTATAAAGAAATAAAAACTGAAACATAAGCTATGTTTTCTTTTTGAAAATTATTATTCATGATCACTGTAGCTATTTAAAACATTAACTCTCATACTAAACACATGGATACATGACTGAGCCACACACTCCAATTCAAACTTCCAAAGCAATATATCTATAATGGCACATTTTTCACAACTAAGAGTCTTGATGTTATAGCACACTCTAGTGATCAACTACGAAACCACAGATTTTTAATATTTTGTGAGTCCCATGACAAATATACATCCAAATAAAAATTTTATATTTCTACATATATCTTTAACATTTAAAATGTAAAATATTACAAAAGCAAACTTAATTTTCATACTTTAAAATTTATATATCTAAAGCAAACACTATAACTCACTAAATTAGAAACAAATGTTATTTGAAATAGCTAGTTTTTATTTATTCATTCAGTCATTCACCAAATGTTCACTGGGTCCCACATGATAGGAACCATTGTAACTATTAGTGATACAATGACTAGCAAAGAAAGACATCTTCCTTGCTCTCATGGAACATATAATTAAGTGTACAGACATAAAAATATTTGTAGTAAACAAACATTAAAGAATCACACTAATAATAACTGTGGAAGGTACAATGAAGGAATGATACGGAAATATATAACAGGAACTTCAGCCAGTAAATGAAGTCAGACTTCTCTAAAGTAGATGACTGAACAAAGTCTGCATGAAGAGTAAAGAGTCAATTAGTCAAAGGATAAGAAGGAAGAAAAAAAAGAAAGTGTATTTGAGAACAAAGAAAAGGCCAAGGAGGTTAGAATTTAGAGATCTTGTTACAAGAGAAAGCTAAAGAGGTTGGCAGGAGCCAACTATGTAGGTCTTAAAGGCTATAATACAAATTCCGGCCTTTGTCCTAAAAGCAGGAAGCTCCATATTTTCAAAAGAACACACTAGTTTAATATATTGGAAGAAAGGGAAAAGGACTATGCATGCAAGACCAGTTAGGAAGACCATTATGGTAGTCCAGGTAAAAAAACGTAGCAGTTTGAATAAAAGTGTAATGGTTCTAGATATAAAGTTTAGTCTATAAATATTTCAGAGTGAAACTATCATATCTTGATAAAAGACTAAATATTGGTGAGGAACACAGAGGTTTTAAAAGATTTCCAAATGTTATTTACTGAGGATTAAAAATCAAGAAGAATAGGTTGTTTTATGTTTTGTCAACATTTTTGATGTTAAGTTTGATTCTGGACATCCAGATAGGATGAAAAGGTCAAGATACTTGGATAACTAAATCTGAAGCTCAGATAGATAGGGGCAGGAGACATAATTATTTTGAATCTTTAGAATATACATGATAAACTGAACACAAGCTCATTAAACAAATAGTATAGAAAGTACATGATCAATGACCTGTAATTAAACTTCTAGTAAGATGAATCACATAAAAAGTCCATGATGTTGGCAATATGAAGGTTATTATTGAACTCAGCCTAAACTGCTTTCAGTTTAACAGTGAGGGTAGAAGCCAGAATTAGTTACAGAATGAGTAGGAACTGGCAGTTCTTTTGAGAAATCTGGTGATGAAGGAAGTGTGGGATTGGTACTTATAGGACAATTATTGGAATTAAATATGGAAACTGAGTGAGGGATTAATTATCCCACCCAGACCACATGGGAGGAACCTGAGCATATTTAAACTCAGATGGGAAGAATCACACTAATAATAAAGAATCACACTAATAAAAAAATGGTGCCAAGCACAGTGGTGCACATCTGTAATCCCAATAGCTCAGGAGGTTGAAACAGTAGGATCCTAAGTTTGAAGCCCTTAGTAACTTAGGGAGATCCTGACTATTTCAGATTCTATTTTTTTTTAATATTACAATAAATGTGAAAAATGAGACCCAGGGTCATTACAGAGGATTTGTTGGTATTCACTTTTTCTTAAAGACATTTTTTAAACTAATATATTTTTTAGTTGTAAATGGACACAATATCTTTATTTTGTTTATTTATTTATTTTTATGTGGTGCTGAGGATCAAACTAAGTACCTCACAAGTGTGAGGCAAGAGCTCTAACACTAAGCCACAACCCCAAGTCCCAGAAACTAATATTTTTAATACACCAAAGATCATCAGCATGTTCACTCCTATTGCCAAGTTACTTTGCTTTAATATAAATTCAGAATATAGCTTCTTCTACTATCTTTCTAAATGAAGAATGCTCTTAAACTTACCAAGAGCAGATTTAAAACATTTTTAAACTATTTATTTAAAACCAGATTTCTTAATATTTGATAATAAACAAAATGTAGAAACTGAATGATGAGTCTAATACTTCCTCTTCATAATGCTTCATGGAACTATTTATTTGTTTAAGCTTTTATTTTCTTTAGACTGTCAGTTCTATGAGCAGGGGCTATATTGATTTTTTTTCACCAATATGTAATTTAAGTAGTTAGCATAATGTCTGATACAAAAACATGTAATAAATTTTTGCCAATTTTAACACTTGTATATTTTACATAGCACCCAACTTTTATTTATAAGCCTATCATAAAAAAATTTTACCTATAAATTTTTATGTAAAAAAGCTATAAGCTGGGGCAGGGGATGTTGCTCAAGCGGTAGTGCGCTCGCCTGGCATGCTTGCGGCCCGGGTTCGATCCTCAGCACCACATACAAAAACAAAGATGTTGTGTCCGCTGAAAACTAAAAAATAAATATTAAAAAAATTCTCTCACTCTCTCTTTAAAAAAAAAAAAAGGCTATAAGCTGTTTTATATGTATACACTGAATATCAAAAACAGCTAGAGAAAAAAATCTAAAACTATTAAAGGTACAATCAACAGGGGACGAGTAGATTCTGGTATATCCATACAGAAAAATATTATTTAGCAAAGAAAAAGAAAGTAATCAACTGCTGGTTAAAACATGGATGAGTCTTGAAATAATCGTGCTGAATAAAATATGACAGATTATAAAAAGAGGTATATACTATATAGTTCAATTGATGAAAAAGTTGAACAAATACAAGCTAGTCTCTACTGAAAAAAGTAAACTGGTAATCAGGGGAAGGGAAATAAGAAAAATTCTGAGAATGATTATGTTCATTATCTCAAAAGTGGTGAGGATTTGACAAATATGCACATATATTAAAACCTCAAATTGTATACTTTAAATACATGCAGTTTATTGTAAGGCAAATACCTCAATACTGTTTTAGGGGGAAAAAAATTATAAGGCGAAAGGGAATAGGAATACTACTTTTAATTTTGAATATAAAAAAACTGCCTCATAAATTTTTTATCATTTCAAACCATATAACAACCATAGAATAGTTTAAGGTAAAAAATATATTGGTTTTGCTTCATTACCTTACAACTTTTGGAGCCTGAGAATTTTCAGTTCCTTTAAAACAAACTTTTTTGACATGATCTCCTGAACTATGACCAGTAACAGATTTTTTTTCTTCTAGTAAGAAATCCCGGAATGACTTGGATGAAGCTGAATGTAGAGAAGATGCCCTGCAAAAGAAAGCAAAGATCATGCTAGAACATCCATTTTGTAAAATGGCATTCCTGGAAATTAATGGACATACAGAGAATATATATGTGAAAAATTTAACAATATAGTTTCCAATATAACGGTCAATCCTTGCTATCAAATGTTAACCAATCAAAACTATGAGTAAGAAAAAGAAATCAGTGGACAATACCACTAAGGATAAATCTAGATGTTGAAAATAGCAAGGATACTGAAATAGCTATTGTAACTATGCCTCAGACAACAACAGTAGCAAAGATATACTCAGAAGGAATTAAAAAACTGGTTGGGCTGGGGATGTGGCTCAAGCGGTAGCGCACTCACCTGGCATGTGTGCGGCCCGGGTTCAATCCTCAGCAGCACATACAAACAAAGATGTTGTGTCCGCCGATAACTAAAAAATATTAAAATTCTCCCCTGCCCCCCCCTCTCTCTCCCCCCCTCCCTCTCTCTTTAAAAAAATAAAAATTAAAAAAAATTTTAAAAAAACTGGTAAACTCAGTACAGGAACAGAAACAAAAAAGAACAAAATGATGTTGAAAAGACAAAATTAGCACTTGGATGAACTTTGTAGACTAAGAAGTCAATAGGAATCATATAAACAATAGAAATCTCGGGAGTAAGAAAAAGTCAGCCTTGAGGAATTACAGGATATGAAAAGTACTGTAAGCACAAGAGAGAGTGAGATGGCAGACCAAAATATTGAAACAACAGCTGAAAATTTTCCAAGTTTGGTGGAAGAAAAAATTTAAAAATCTAAGTTTTAACAAACATCAAACAAGATAAATGCAAAGATAATCACACTTAGGGACATCATAGGCAAACAACTTAAAACTAAAGATTAAAAAAAAATTCATTGAAGCAATCATAGAAGTATAACACAATATGAAAATGGCTAGCTTGTTATGGAAACAATGAAGTCCAAAAGACTTCACTGGAAGTGGGAAGACATCTTTAATGTGATGAAAGGAGGAAAAATGTCAATCCAACTTATATCCATGTGAGTAAGCTTGGAAGAGGGCCATCTGCAAGTCAATCCTTAAAATTATTATAGTTCTGGATGAACCCTAAGGGCAGCACTGGGAAGCTTGAAGAGGAACACAGCTAACATTCTAGACTCACAGGTATTGTGAGAAATAATTGTTGTTTCTTTTAAGCTGCTTTGTAGGGATAATTTGTTATGCTGAGTCCATATTTGAAGTCATTTACCCTACATAAAACCTGACACAATATGAAGAAATTTTCTTTATAGATTTGCATCAGAAGATGACCTACTAAGCTATTCATGTTAACAATATTCCTTCAAGAGAACTAATCTTTGGCCTTATCACAAAAATTTTCCCCAAAACATACACATATACAGAAGACAAAAGTCAAACACACATACAGTTCAAATTTCCTTCCCAAATCCTTTCTCCCCTCAAAAGCACACATATCTTAAGTTAACTATGATATAAAATACAGTGTGTATCATTAATTGTTGGGAACAGTGTTCGCAAATATTCTTACTAGCAAATTCCCTGAGTGTCTCCTGTAAATTATTTTTCTAAATACAGAAACCTGGAACTATCACTATTGAAACGTACAAGTTGTCAAATTCATTCTAGTGGTTAATCTGGGGACTCCCAGATGTAATACATGATTTCTATCCCACAGGTTTTTTTAAGAAGTTACTTAGGGTAAAAGCTCTCTAAGAATAAATAATAAGTAAGACTGCTTATAAAATGTTTTAACTCACATATTCATTAGTTACACACAGTGATCAATTATAAAATGTGGTATGAAGAATTCTTCAAAGAAATTCCAAGGTTCTTTCCACTGATTATGCCATGATTTGATACAGTGTCTAATTTCCCACAATTTTACTTTCCTCATAGGCTCTGGTTATTTTCCATTTGAGTAGCCACAGAAACTTCATGGAAAAATATTTATAGACATTTATATCCACATGAAAATTAACAAAAATTGTATTCCTCAGCTAAAGTACCCCTGAAACTTTAATGAATACATTTCTAGCTCAAAAAAGTTGAATAATTGGAAACTACTCTATATATGTTAGCTAGTTCTCGATAGAATTTGGAAAAAATTGCATTCATATATCAAGCCAGGCCATGAAGACTGTGTATTCTTCCACTCAAGATGACTGATGAGAAATGTATTACTTCTCCAAGTAAAACACTTGAAGATGAAAAGTGGCCAAATCTCATATATACTTAATGTTTTCACATTAGATTTAAAATTCAAATGGTTAGAACTTCATTCCCGTGCAAAAAACAATTGTCTTTAATACTTTACTTTGCCACATCTAATTGCAGGCAACAAGAATAAAACTATAATTGTGAATTTATATACTAGGTGAAAGAATGTGTAAAAAGGCTAGCAAAAATCCTACCACAACCAAAAGCAGATTTAGAGGGCTGATCTGTGATTTGCAAATGATGAACTGCACATTAACTTTAATATTAAGATATAGTATAAAAACATCTTGTAAAGAAATAAATTCTGATTAGATGATACATTAGAAGTGATAATGTATATTTGAGAAATATTTAAAATACTATAATCATGAAAAGACTCTGAAACACAATCCACAAATTAGATTAAAATGCTAATTTCAGATCATTTTTTATTTTATTAAAGTAGAAAAAAGTTTAAATTCTTTCAGTGAGTTTTTAAACCAAGGCGTTTAAGGGATGTTCTCAGAAATTTCTAGCATGTATTGCATATGTGCTACTCAGGTACTCTGTGTACCAAAGTAAAAATCAAGTGTTATCATTATAAATAATACTGTGGTTACTTCATAATTTCAAAGATAATTCTATACATAATATAAAATTAAAATAACTTTTAATCATACAAACCAGCACACCACATTGTATCTACTCAATAATCACAGTTCAATTTAGAATTCCTTGCAATTGTATAGAAATCTCAGAAAGAAAATTATGAATTCCCAGCACTACAAAATATAGCATAAAGAAAGAAAATTAAAAACCTAATAATTTTATTTCAATTTATACTAAACATGCCTCAAAGTTCCTATATACCAAATATTAACTATTTAATGTGAATGTGTTCTTAAAATTTATAATGTTTTGATTTGTGCCATTAACTTAGAATAAAATTCTCATAATCTAATAAAAAATATATGTATATATTTATTCTAAATATATACTTATATATATATTTCTACATATATACTTTACAAAGTTGCTTCAATTCACTCTTTAATAAGTATAAATAAAAACAATGAATATATTCAAAATAATTTTGCAGAAATCAACTTTAAAAGATCCTTAAGATTTAACAAAAGTGTATTATCATTATAAAATGCATAATTATTAATTTTATGACAACTCAAGACACTTCTAACCTTTACAATAATTCAAAATAAAATTGTAATTTGCCACAAAATTCATTACTCATTTGTTTGTATTTAAATTTTCCAAGTAGGTTTTCATAAAATAAATTTATAATAAACATCATTTAGATTTAATAGTTGCCAAATACTTCTCAATGAAAAGTACACTGATTTACGTTTTGGGCCAAATTTCATGGCATTTTCTTCCTATCTTTCTAGACTTCTCCTGAATATTTTCATAATAGACTACTTTTAAAATTTAGAAAGTGCCTTCAAAGTAGGACTCTCTGAGCTCATGTTGCTAATAATTACTGGAGAAACATTTTGCCTAAATTTGAACATTCAAGTCTTAGTGTCAAATAAATAACTATTCTTCCCTTTAATACTTTTTTCCTGAAATTTCACCTAAAGTGAATAGAAAAGCAACCAGAAGTGTGTAAGCCCACCTCACACAAAAAAAGAATAAGATATTAAGAGATGACAGACTAAAAATAGCAACATGTTTTTGGAGAATGAAGAGGCAGAGTGATAGCTGGTAGAGTGGGAATTTAAAAAAAAGCCTGCTATCAATTAGGTGGTAGTACTGTGAAAAGATCAAAAACCCGGAAAAGCTCATATATTGTATCAAATACTGAATTAAGAACATGGCTAAAAATGTGAAAACTGGTTTTTGAAGTTTATTTGTTGGCATAATTGAGAATAGTAAATGTCCTAATTTCATGAGGTCACATGACTGCACCTCCCATACCTTATCAAAAGGAAAATCTGATTCAAAGACACTAGTAAAATAGAAAGGCAGAAATTTGTAATGTTTTGAACAACCCACAATAAAAAATTAAAAATAAAAAAAAAAGAAAGGCAGAAGCAAACTATTTGCTTCTGCACAAGTTTATACAATAAATGGTAAAGTGAGTGAAAATCTATATCCAGTGAAAACTTCAGTCTCTGCCCTAAACTATTCACCCTGATCAGCTTCCAAAATGCTGGCAACCAAATTTATAGACCTTCACAACAAATAATTAAATCTGTTCTTTAAAAAAATTGACATGCCCCCAAGCATGGTGGCACAGGTCTGTAATCCTAGTGACTTGGGAGTTTGAAGCAGGAGAATTCAAAGTTCAAAAGCCATCCTCAGCAGTTTTTCAAGGCCCTAATCAACTTAGCAAGACCCTGTCTCAAAATAAAAAATAAAAAGGGCTAGAATGTGGCTTAATGGTTAAGTGTCCCTTGGGTTCAATCCCCTGTACCAAAAGGGAGGGGGAAAAAAATCATCAACATCCTATGGAGACCAAGGAAAAAAAATATCAAGGAGGTAACCAATATTAGGGTGGTGCTTCCTAAGGATACCCTAAGGATATTGCAAAACATCCTAAAGTCATACCCATTCCACACAGGCACATGGTGCTTCTAATCAGAACTTAAAACAATCAATAAATCTAAAGAATAAAATATTAAAACGAACCAAGAAATATACAGAAAAGAGTGAATAAAACAGGAATATAAGTCAATGGCTATTTTTAACTTTTCATATATGGAACCATATTTCTTTTTTCTGACTGGCTTTTTTTCCACAGTATTATATCAGTGAGATTCATCCACATAGTATTTAGTCATAATTCATTTTTTAATCACTGGGTAGTGTTCTATTACTTTAAAAAATGCATCCATTTAATGCTGATAGATATTTAGGCTATTTCCAACTTTAGTTATTACAGATAATGTTGTTACAAACATTCTTATATATGTTGCCTTTTTTTGGTGATTAAAGATTTTAATAGTTGAAAATAATCAAGGAAATATTTGAGAATACCAAATGGGAAGACAAATATATGGACAGTAGAAAAATTAATTACAGAAATCCAGGAGGACCAATATCTGATTAGTATAAATTTTAGAGAAAACAAAAGGAAAAGTTATCAAAGGAATAGTTCATACAATTTTTCTAAACCTAAGGGCATGCTGTTCTCAATTAACACAAATTCTCAAAATAATATGTCAAAACAAACCCCATGAAAGTACATAATTTTGAAATTTCTGAACACTAGGAATAAAGAAAACTATAAATTTCTAGGGGGAAAACAAAGGTGGAAGAAGGATAATGGGGGGTACCATAAAAAGAAATGGAAATCAAATGATATTAGACTTCCCAAAAGCCACAGGGATAACAAAAAGGAACAAATTCTCCAAAGGATCCCAACTTAGAATCTTGTTCCAATCTAACTAGCAATCAATAATAAAAAAGAAAACAACAAAATGTTCGTGAATAAAAAACTCCAAAAACGTAAGCAGTACATATTCTTTGTCAGCAAACTACTGGAGTTGTACTACATCAAAACATGGAGTAAATCAAAAAACAGACAAACACAAAACATAGAAAACAAGATTAAATACTGGAGGAAAGCAAGGACATTTCTAAGATGACAATTAAGGAAAATCCAAGATGGCAGATAATCCATAGGCCTAGAAAAGACCCAGTTCAGACCAGAGAAAAACACAAGGTTCTAAGGCAGAAGCCTCTAAGAAAACAAATGTATTTTTTTCTTCATTTATTTTTTTGTTTAAATAAGGAAACCAATTGATGGCACATCTAAAACAACATTACTAAGCCAAATGCTTCCAAACGTAGTTAGTTAATGCTTTCAAATTACAATAATTTTAGTATCTTAATGATTATTTCAATAATACTTTTTTCCCCTCTTGCTATTTTCTACACCAGCGAAAACACAACTCAATGTTGTTAACAGTTACACCATAAAACCTACAAAGGCAATAAGCAAATTGGTCTTGCTTTATTGTCATATCACTAGAAATTAAAAGAATGCCTTGCATGTGGAAGATGTTTAAGAAATACTGAAGAATTAAAAAAATTTCTGCTAAGACCATTTTCTCAAGTGTCATCCTCAGTTTTCTTCTACTTCAGTATTCCAATTTCTTGTGTTTACTTTCTTTGGTCAGAAATTGTACTTTAGACCTATTAGCAGCTCTGACTAGCATTATGTTAATTCCCACTGGCAACACTCAAAACTGAGTGTCATTCCCCCTTAGTAGGAAAAATATTCCCTTTTACAAACAGAATAATTTAGCATTAGGACACTGAAGGATTTTCCCAAACTAAGGGTGGCTACCAAGATCACCCTCAGTTCCTGTGAAAGAAAGTGGGTTCTACTTCTTCCTTACCCTTCACACTACTTATGTATGTGCTTCTCTAGAACTGGTTTCCAGATATTCTGATGTGGATAACAAAGAAAAGGGCAGATGGAAGGGAAGCAGAATACAGCCTGTTTTACACATCTCAAAATTGTCATCTGACCTCTTCGAAGATTACTCCTATAATTATGCCACTTTGGGTAAATTATAATAGAGAAAACATAAATAATGTAATGTTAACAGCACTGTTTAAAAAAGTGACAAGAAGCTTTGTATAACTATGTAAAGACATTTATGATGCATACAAAAGGACAAAGAAATAAGGGTACTAAAAATAAAGTTTGCTTTTATGAAAATGTCCTGTGGTGCATTTTATTTATCATAAAATGAAAAAGTAAACTTATTTTAAGTCACTTTAACAAGAGAAGTTTAGCAGAATAACAAGAAGAAATTATATTCATAATGAAAAACATTTGAAAATCATGATATAATGTCAATACATTAAAAATTAAAACAAAACAAAAAAATCCCATTTTTGACTTAAAAGCAAAGGAAGGAATGAAATATTTGCTAATATAGGCAGGGAAAACCTCAGGAGTAAAGAATCACTTTATAAACTAATAAACCAATCTAAGCTAATTTTAATAAAAGTGATACATACCATGCATTCACTGGTTTGGGGACTTTGGAAGGAGTGGTTAAAACTGTTTCCATGCTACTCATTCCTGAATTATTTTCTTTGGTAGTCAACGCGATCATTTTTCGTTGCTTCTGAGAAAGTTTAACTCCAGGAGAAACCATTTTGCTGAAGATTAAATTAAATCAATTAGTTTCACTGCTCCTGAGAAAGTTTAATATCATGAGAAATAATTTTGCTAGAAATTAAACCAATTAGCATGAATTTCTTTAATGAAAGTTAGAGATAAGGATAATATTTCCTATTTATTTGGTGTGACTTTACTATTTGATCAAGATGTTCACAAAGTATCAACAGTGGTGATATTAATTTATACTATCAATCATTAAGTAATAGCTATGATTAATTCCTCCTTTATATACTTTTCAAGGATAATTTACATTACAAAGCTTAAAAATTTTTGCTTTTTCTTTGATTTTTCTTCAAGAACAGATCACATGGTTTCTAGCATGTGATACTGTTTTGTATAAAAGCTAGTCTATCAATTTAACTCAATCTTTACACAGATTTAAGAAATATTATAAAGGTTAAATTACCTAGAAAAAGGCTTAAATCTATTAGATCAAAGGCAGAGAAATAATGAGAACGATCCAATGGATCTTTCCAATTTTTTAGGACAGGAATATAATTTTTTTTAAACCAACCCTAAATTTGACTTAGGTGTAGCTCCACATTTTTGTCTACTTTCTTCTATTTCCATGATGGTTCTGAGATCCACGACAGGAGGGCTGACAGGACTAAAAAAAAATTAAAGAATTACTTTACAAAAGCCTTCAATTACCTTTAAAACCCAACCCCAAACTTCAATGAAACTATAAATTATATGTAGATTAATAATGAAAGTATAATTTAGAATTGTTTTGCTGATAACAAAATTCTTATTAGTATTAACAAAAACAGACATTCTCTAGAAAACCTTAGGATATTCAACAATATTAATATTGGAAACCCACCAAAAGTAGCTAGCTATACCATAAAAAAAAAATACTCTATGATTTTTACAGTTTCTAACCTAAATGAAATCTATGATACAACTAAAAATAAGTCATATTACTATATATTGAAGGATAACCTGCTGTTTTTTCTTTCAAAAAGAAAAATATTTACTATATTTCTGTATTTATTCCCACTAGATGATACTTCAGAATGATGTAGAAATGTTTATGTATGCATTAATATGTAAAATATTGACCAATTTATATAGCTAGGCACTATTTTTAAGACATGTTTAGAAAATATTCTAATATCAGTACTCAGAATATGTTTCCAGATGTCCCCAGAAATTGTTATGTTACTTAGAATGCCAAAACATTTCAGACTAATTTCTGAGCTACCATTAGACCATGAAGCAACATAAACTGAAACATCATATACTTTGTTCCAATACATAACAGAGCACATTTCAAAAAAATTGCACAAATGGTCAGAGTGATAATATAATCAATAAGTCACTTGACAGTTTTAGCCTATAATCAACCAAAGTAGTTACATAAAAATGAAGCACAAGCTCTATAGCCCTACAAAAAAGCAAACTATGCTTTCTATTTACAAATACTCCTTCATTTGACTTCTAAATAAAAGAAAAATATGCATAAAATATAAGTAAAAAGATAGTATAACATTCAATAAATATCCTCAGATATACTAACAATGAACAGTACATTTTATGAGATTTTAAATACCCACTAAGGTGCAAACATTTAACTGTATAATAATATATTTTGTGAGATAATAAGGTGCTCTATTATGCATATATGGAACAAAGATTATGATGTTCCAGTTAATACTACTTCATGGCCTAAAGGTAGCTCAGAAAGCATAAAGCTTACAAATTACAAAAAAAAAAAAAATGGTTTTCCTAAAAGGAAGATAGGCTTTTTTTCTAATTCTGTTTTTGCCTTGGTTTTTAAGTTTTTAACTGACACATAAAAAGTATACCTATTTATGGAATACCATGTGATCTTTCAACATACATATATATTATGAAATATTCCAATCAAGGTAAAACTGTCCCCTCAAACCTTTATCATGTCTTTATAGTGAAAATATTCAAAATCTTTTCTTTCAGTTTTTTTTAATAAGCAGCATATTATTATCTATAGTTATCCTACTGTGCAACAGAACAGCAGAACTTCTCTCTTCTATGACTTTTTACCTTACATATGCATCAGTCTTTCTCCATCATTACCTTCCCCTTGAGTAGGAGTTTTAATTAATATACATTAACAAAGAAAAATATGCTATAATATACTGACAATAATACAAAGACAACTATATTTTGCCTGGGTGGGGGATAAGCCTATTATATTGATTAGCAATTTGTATGCATATAGGTAATTTTATGTATAGTAGAGTATATTAATATTTTTAAAAATTTTTTCATTTGATTAAAATTAATGATATTTCTCAGATACAGAACAAAATGAAAATTCTACCTGAAAGAGCCAGCAACCCAGCTGGAAGAACTTGTTACATCAATTCTGTTACTGGGAATGGGCTGTGGAGTAGATACTTTAAGTATTGATGATTTTTCCCATGGTTTGAAATCTTCCCTAGAAGATGTATTAGTTGTACCATTAACATAAGGTTTAACTTTCACCTAAGGGAAGGGGAAAAAAACATTAAAGTTAATAAGAGCAGATACCTAGCTCAGTAGCTAATATGTAGTTGATTCTTAACAAATATTAGTTACATTATGGAAAATCTTCTGATAATAAACCATCTAACATTTTTAATTCATATTCTTCTACAGGTTAATGCTTTAACCAATTCTCAAACAATCAGATGATTGTGAGCTTGGAGAATAATTTTTAGGGATAATGTTTGCCTATTAAACTTATATTTATACAAAGAGTAAACAAGAATGTTAATATATAGAAGCTATACAGTAAGATATGAAGCAGCAATTTTAAATTAATGTCCACAACTTCAGATATGAAACAAAATGAAAATTTGGTATAAATGTCATAGAAAGTCACTCTGAACATAATTAAAGGACTCTGAATAAAATTAAAGTCAAATAATACTGATATTTCAAAAGGGACCTGGAAACTACTGATATTATAATAGGTCAAGTAAGTTATTAAAATAGTATTTCTATTGCCAGGATTAATTCTTCTACTATTATAAGACATTCACAATATGCCTTCTATATTCCAGACCAATCTTATCTGAATAATAATTGACCCCAAATGTTTACCCTACATTAAAATAATCAATCCTTGAGGCCTAGAACAAGACAGGGTAGAAAGCATAAGTTCTATTGTCTTAGGAATTCCTAAAAATTAGGATTTTTTTTTTTTAAGGCAATTCTAGGGATTGAACTCAGGGTCTTGCATGTGCAGGCAAGTGCTCTACCACTGAGCTACATCCCCAGCCCTAGAATATGCTTTAGGGATATACAGGAATTAGAGAAAAATAAGTCTATCTCAAATAAAGTAGATATTTCCCTTCCCCATAGATTATAAACTATGGAATAAAATGTCAGGATGTCTAAAAAATGCATTCCTCAGAGATACCCAGACTAGGAATCCTGCTAGACTAGAAGATCTCAAATCATTCCAGCTTGTTTTGCTCTAGTTAATACTATGAAAGGGACTAGTAGAATCTGAATTTAGACTTATTTTCAAAATTACTTTACCTTTGATAATTTTTATCTTCTGTTAACTGACATTTCACAAAAGACAATTCAGTAATTCATCTACAAATATAGTTTTCACTGTCTACATAGTGTTACTATATTTTACATCATTATATTTTACACATCAACACTCTATTTTACTTGTAGAAAGATTAGACATAACATTCATAAAGGGTTTGAAAGAGTCATTGAATAAAATTAGGAAGGTTATACAAATTTGAGAAACTAACACTACACATATTGTACTAATTTTATCTTATAAACCAGCCAGGACAGTGTTTTAAAGTTTGAGTAAAAATAATGAAAAACTAAAGCTAAACTGTATACAGATCTAAAAACTAAAGGTAAGGAAACAGTGCTTTATAAAACTAACCTCAATCTTATCTGAATGAAATCCTGTTGTGAAATCAGGGGACTGTAAATCTCTAGGACTACCCACACCTGCATAGCTTCCTTCAGAGTCTGATGTCAATAGTTCTGGAAGAGATTCCACAGAATTGGTCTTACCAGACTTTAATAATCCTAAAGTAAGAAGTTAAAACAAAACCAAAAAAATTTAAACACATAAAAATTACACATATGCAATACAGTCAATGAGCCAAATAGAGAGCTAAAAGCTTCCACTTAACCAGATTTTATAAAATTTAAATTATATTCACCACACCAAAATCTTATCATTCAAGCTAACTGGAGAAAGATATTAGATTAAGTGAAAAAAATAAAATGAAAGAGGTTGTAAACAATAGTGTTATTCATCATGATTACATGCCAATTATGCAATGAAACTGAGGAAGATAGTTTTTGGGATCTGCTTTGAAGCAATGGTTGAGGACCTTTTTTCCACCATAAAAGAAAAAAAAAGAAGAAGAAATGAAGGAACTCCAGACTCCTCTCCTTTGTCTTTCTCTCCTTGTACAGAAATCTCTACATTCATGCAGAAAAGGACTAATATCATCTGTGTCAGAGGAAGCACATGGCCTTTTTGCCTCTCCTTTATCCAGCAGACTAGCCTAGTAGCAGAGATTCCTAGAGGTCGATTATAATCTGTTTGAGAGTTGGTGTTCTTTTTTCCCCCTGTAAAAAATGTCTTCTATTGGGAGTATTTTAAATTAGTTTATCTCCTGAAGTAAAGTGTTATGAAATGTATATACCACTTCTTAGATAACTGAGGAAGCCTAAATGCCTGCCTTTGTTTCACACCTAGTATTCTGCATATTAACACTTTCACAGAATGTCAATCGTGTAACTTTAAGCATCAACACATACGCTAAACCTTCACACAATGTCTTCAGTGAAAATTGCCACATACTCTTAATTTATTTCCATAATTAGGTCTTTTGTTTAAATTTAGTCTTCTAACCATTATCAACTTTGGCTACAGAAAGAATGGTACAGCAAGAAAAATATAGTATTGGAATCAAGAAAGTAAATTCTATTTCTTTTTGCCACTACCTCAAATCGCTTAAGTTTTCTGAGGTTTAAAGTAAGGAACATAAATTATTTCATTACTATGGTCTCTTTGAGTTCTGACATGCTAAGATTTTAACACATGTACTAAAAATAACATAAAAGCAAATCAAATATCTGCCCTTTTTTATGTCATTTAGGTGACTAGGAGATCACTAAGTTGATGACTGTCTATTTATCCTTCCATCCATCTACCAATGGTTCTTCCTAAGGGCTAGATATAACTCACAACAGAAAATAGAAAACTACAGTTTTAAGTCTGCAAAGGTCTTCAGACATGTTTCCCATTTACTATGTCTCCTGATTAATATTCTCAGAACTTCATAAACCAACTTAGGCATATTATCTATGCTTTTCATATCTTTTGTTGATCTAAAACTATTATTCTTGATATTATTCCCTGTGAGCTTTATTAACATTTTAAGTACCCCATTTGTAATAGCTAATTAAACAAAAATAAACACCCTCTTTTTTTTCTGAATAACAGCTATCTTTTCCTAAGAGATGTGAAACGATGCTTGTCTTTTACTTTTCAAAGTCACTAATATGGAGTTGACTGATAGAAACTGTACAAGGTATGTCTTAGTGCTATAGACAGACACACCTACCATTTACAAAAGCCATACTATAGTCTCATTATTTTATTGTCATATTTCACATTTTATCTAGAGAAACTGTTAAAAATTTAGATAAATCTAGATCATATAAACCTAGAATGTGCAACAGTCAATAATATTACCAGCCTAAAATTGTGGGGGGAAAAAATACAAAACAAAAAGATACCAGGGATACTGTTCTAATTAAGACTAAAGAGATATAAATAAGCAAAAGCAGGGTTTAACTTGAGAGAACACTAGATTATTTTAAAGATTAAAACTAAAAAGGCTATAAAACAATTTTGAATAATCAGGGAAATCTGGATATAGAATGTAAAACTAAACAATACTAGTGAATTAATGTTAATTGTCTTGTTGTGATAATAGTATTGTGGTTTTATAGAAAACCACAATAGTATTGTGGTTTTATTCTTAGGCGATTCATATTAAAATATTTAAAGAAACATGTCATGTCTAAAACTTATTCCAAGTGGATCAGTACTCAAAAGTATCTATTATTATACACATACACACAAACTTGAGTATATAGGTGTTATTGGTATTTTTCTTTCATCTTTTCAGTAAGTTAAAAGATTTCCAAAGAAAAAACTGAGAAAAGGAATTTAGAAAAACATTGCCTTTTATTTTCAAACCACATAATTCCTAGATTTAAAATGTGCTACATTTGATTAGATTATAACCTCTTTATGCACATAAATTGCATCTCAGTTAGAGCATTAACATATTTGAATTAAATCAACATAATAATATAATCTGTCATATGTTGCCCATACTAAACCTCTATGCCACTGGACAGAATAGTCTTTCTAAAAACATAAATTTTATTCAATCATACCCTGTTTTAAAAATTCATCACCCACAGCCATTAAAATAAAACTCCAAATTCCTTAGTTTGGCAAACAATAGCCTCCAAAATCTGACCCTATCCAATGTATCTCCTATCTGCACACACACTACATCACTACATGGCTAAGTCCACTTGGGAATATATTGTCCCCTTTGCTAAGTATGTCCATCTGCCTCATTTTCTTGGTTAATTTCTCTTCATCTTAAAGCTCCAGCTGGGACATCACTTTCCTCTAACAGGTATTCCTTGATTTCAAATTCATTGGAATGTCTCTTTTGTGCTGCCAGAGCAAACTTCAGAGTGGATACCACAATACAAACTGTAATTTTGTAGCTTCTGAAAGGACTATATTCTATGTGCTCCAACAGATAGCACGTAGCACATAGAATAAGGTAACAAGACATCAAAGACTAAAATTGGAAATATATGCTAAAACACTTTCACTGACCTGTAGATGGTGGACTCTGAATAATGTCTGAGAGGTTATAACCTCCAGAACTATCTGAACGCTTACGTGGCTTCTTTTTAGCTTTTGTTTTTGCCTTTTTAAACATGATTTCCCTAGAAAAAAGCACACACAAAAGTGAAAATGAATTAGAGATGAAACAGTGGAAAAACTATGCATTTTAACCAACAGAATATAGTATATTTTGGTCAAACAGAAACTATTATAGCACAGGCAAGCTCTAGTTACATTCACCAATGTAGATCTGAGTAAATTACTTAATTTCACTGGGTCTTACTGTGATATTATTATTCCCATCCTGGCATTTCTGTGAAAAATTAAAAACAAGATGGTAAAAAGGAAAATATGTGGAAAAGTAAAACGCTAGTCATAGGCCTCAAAAAGTGCTACAAAGAGACTATGAACAGAAGCAGGACAAGGCACAGCCACTACCATGGTGCCTCACCAAATACACCAAGTTCACATCAGACATGATCCAAGAGGTATATAGCTTTCCTGAGTATGAGCAGTGCTCCAAGGTCTCCAAGGACAACAAATCTTCAAGTTCACCAAGAAAACACATATGTGCCAAGAGGTAGCAAGAAGAGCTGAAAATACCCTACCCACCAGGAAGAAAACTGTTGTCAAGGACTAAGACCCTTAAGCATAATAAAACCTTTACAAAGAAAAAAAAAGTAAAACACTGTTCACATTTATACACACTGTTTTATTAGCCAAGATCTTAACCTAGAAATATCTGGTGACAATTTGTTAAAAATTTCAGAAAATGCTTATTAATTCCCTAAATTAAGTACTATTAGGGAAATAACTATCCTATTTTAACCAAAAAATTATAGATCTCATTATATATTTTATCCACTTACAAGGGTCAGCAATGAAGTGTTATTTTGTAGAAATAAAATGAGTTATTTATATCAATGTTAATAAACTTATTATAACTTTTAATATAATATAATATATCTAAGTCAGATGTCCAACTTATAGTACCCCAAATGCTACCAAACACTAGGAAGAGAGAATTTAAGAAATAAGTGAAAAAAATACCTCTGGAACCCAAGAGTAGTTTTTCAGTGAGGTACACAGTGGCTCTATATAGTAAATGACCTGAACACCCAAAGATTTCATTTTAACAGGTTATTTTACTAAACAGAGTAAGAGTAATTCTGTAATAAGTCGATAAGTTAACCTACAACAGTGATTACAAATTCTATTCAGGGCTGGTCAAGTCAGCTCACTCTAAGGGATTATATAGAATCTGGGATATTTTGTCAGTCACTGTAGGCTTATAATCTATTGAAATAAGTTCCTTAGAGAGGAATCATTTGAAAATAGCACATCATTTCTGGCTGGTGCACTCCTCTTTGGAACCTCTTTAGTTCAATCTCTCCAAAGGTAAATCTCTACTCTTCTACCAAGATGGCAGAGAGGCAATCCCTTGGCTGAATGGGGCTTAGGAATGGACCAGGGATCTAATGCTCCTTAAATTCAAGTACTCACCCTAGTCTTCATAAATCTGATACCACTAATTCTTAAGCATTTCCAGAACTGCTTTATTTTTTTTAAGTCATTACTCTTCAGAACTACTTTCCAGATTCCAAAACTCTTAACATATCCTGAGGACTGTTTGCTCCTTTCTTCTTCTCTCTGCTGTAGTACAATATGACCTTTCAAATTTCTTTACTGTAATCTCAGCACATTGGGAGATAGTTAAGATTACTGTACTTATTTGATCGAATATGTTTAAACTAAAGCCTATATTCTTTTTATACTTATACTTGATACATTTATTAGATTTGCAAGGATTAATTATACATTTATTCTATATTATAACAAGACTAAGAAAGAATATAAATTTTTCAACTTCTTTTTCCAAAATATCAAAATAAAATGTCAAGTATCCAAGACTGGGGGAGAAAAAAGGAAGGAAGGAAGAAAAGGACAGAAAATAAAACAAAAACAGCTTACGAGTAATTTTGTTCCATATTTATTTCTTCATTCAAAAAGATATCTCCATCTTCTATTTCCAAATAGCTAATATCTGGTCCATCTTGATAAGGTGTAATGATTCGTCTATCCATTGCGGGAATCTGTAGAATTAACCATGTTATTTTTAAGTACCAAGTTTTTTTTTTTAATTTTAAAAATATATATACTTATGTTTTTAGTATGTGCTAACATTAACTAGAAAAAGTTCAAAATGCCTACTGACCTCCTAAATTTACAACAAAGAATAATGTGACTAGCTTCATTAAAAAGTATAATTCACAAAACTGCTATTTCCTGATTTTAGAGGAAAACCCTTAGTTTTTCTCCATTCAGTATACTGTTGGCTTTGGGTTTATCATATATGGCCTTTATAATGTTAAGGTAAGTACCTTCCTCCTATCCCAAGTTTCTCCAGCATTTTTTACATGAATGGTAGCTGTATTTTCTCAAAAGCCTTTCGTGTGTCCTCGGAAAAAAAGTTCTACTTTTATTATTAAATATTCCATTTCTTTTTTTGTGAACATCTTTGTGTGTCTATTGAGTATTTCTTAAAATATATTTTTAATTTTATTAATGCAATATAATTATACATAGTATTTGGATCCCTTTTGACAAAATTATTAACATACAAGGAATTAATCAACATACAAGGAATTAGATTTCAATCCCCATTCTCTCTTCCCACTCCCTTTTCTCCCTCCTCCACTCTACTGACCTTCCTTTCACTCCATTATTTATTTTTAATTAGTTCTTTCCCCATATATGATATTTATTATCATTCTGTTAGATTCATTCCATATTTCTCTTTTCCTTCCTTACTTCCTCCTTCTCATTCTCCATTTCTACTCCACTGATCTTCCTTGCATCTTTATGAAATCTGATCTTCCTACCCCACTGCCTTCTTTTCCTCATTTTGCTTTAGCATCCACGAGAGAAAACATTAAACCCTTGATTTTCTGAGTCTAGCTTATTTCGCTTAGCATGGTTTTCTTCATTTCCATCCACTTACTAGCAAATGCTAGTAATGCTATTTCATTCTTCATTTTGGGTGAATAGAATTCCACTGTGTAAATATGCCATATTTTCTTCAACCATTCACCTATTAACAGGCATCTGGGTTGATTCCATAAATTGCGTGTTGCTATAAACATTTAGTATCCATATCACCACAGTAGTTGCTTTTTGTGCATTTGAATAAATACTGAGGATTGGGATAGCTGGGTAATATGGTGGTTCCATTCTCAATTTTTTGAGGAATATCCATAATACTTTCCAAATTATACTAATGTGCAGTCTCACCAATAATGTATGAGTGTACCTTTTCCCCCCACAACCTTACCAACATTTATTATCATTCATGTTCTTGATAATTGCCATTCTGCCTACAGTAAGATGAAACCTTAGTGTAGGTTTGATTTGCATCTCCTTGATTGCTAAATAAGAACATTTTTTCCATGTATTTGTTGGCCATTTGTGTTTCTTCTTTTGAGAAATTTCTGTTTAGTTCTTTTGATTATTTATTGACTGGGTTATTTGCTTTTATTAGCACTGGGCTGTTTGAGTTCTTTATATATTCTAGATATTAATCCCCTGTCAGAGTTAGTAGCTGGCAAAGACTTTTTCCATTCTATAGGCTCTTGCTTCACTCTCTTAATTATCTTCTTTGCTGCGCAGAAGCTTTTAATTAGATGACATCCCACTTATTAATTCTTGGTTTTATTCATTAAGCTTTAGGGGTCTTGTTGGGGAAATCAGTGCCTGCATCTATATGATGGAGTGCTTAGACCCTATGTTTTCTTCTGGCAGTTCCACAGTTTCTGATCTAATCCTTAGTCTTGGAAATATTTTGATTTGTGCCGAATGAAAGATAGGGATTTAGTGTCAACATACTTTATATACAAACAGCTATATGAAAAATTGTGGTATATGTGTGTATTAAGAATTGTAAAGCAAAAAGAAAGATAGGGATTTAATTTCATTTCTCTACATATAAATATCCAGTTTTCACAGTATCATTTGTCTAAAAGGCTATCTTTTCTCCAACATATGTTTTTCGTCAAGTATCAGATGGCTATATGTGGATTTGTTTCTGAGTCTTCTATTCCACTGGACTTCATATCTACCTCAATGGCGATACTATGCCGTTTTTTTGCTACTACAGCTCTATAGTATAATTTGAGATGGGGTATTGTGATGCCTCCTGTACCACCTTTCTTATTCACAATTCCTTTGGCTATTCTCAGTCTCTTATTCTTCCAAATAAATTTAAGGATTATTTTTTCTAGTTCTGTGAGAAATGTCACTGGTATTTTGTGGGATTGACATTGAATCTATATATTACTTTTGGAAGTATGACCATCTTGACAATATTAATTCTGCCTATCTGAGAACACCTTCTGAGGTCTTCAATTTCTTTCTTCAGTGTTCTATAGTTTTCATTAATTCCTAGATTTTTGTGTTTTTATTTTTTAGGATAACGTTAAGGGGATGATTTTCCTGATTTCTTTCTCCACTGAGTCACTGTTGGGAGTATAGAAAAGCTACTGATTTCAGTGCTGATCTGGTATCCTGCTACTCTGCTAAATTCATTTATCAGCTCTAGGAGTCTTGTGGACTTTTTTGGGGTCTTCTATATATACTATCATGTTATCAGCAAACAGTGACAGTTTGACTTCCTCTTTTCCTATTTTTTTTATCTTTAATATCCTTCCCTTGACGGATTGCTCTGGCTAGAGGTTCAAGTATTATATTAAATAGAAATAGTGAGAGTGGACATCTTGGTCTTATTCCTGATTTTAGAGGAAAACCTTTAGTTCTTCTCCATTCAGTATACTGTTGGCTTTGGGTTTATCATATATGGCTTTTATAATGTTAGGTAAGTACCTTCCTTCTATCCCTAGTTTCTCCAGTATTTTTTACATGAATGGTAGCTGTATTTTATCAAAGACCTTTCCTGTGTCTATTAAGATGATAGTATGGTTCTTGTCCTAAATTCTATTTATGCAGTGAATTATATTTGTTAATTTGCATGTGTTGAAGTAACCTTGCAACCTTGGAATGAAGCCCACTTAGTCATGGTATATTATCCTATTAATATGTTTTTGAATGCAGTTTCCTGATATTTAATTAAGGATTTTTGCATTTGTGTTCATCAGGGAGATAGATCTGTGGTTCTTTCCTAAATGTGTCTTTAATTTTAGTATGAGGGTTGTATTACCATCACAGAATGTAATCAGCAATGTTCCTTCTCTTTCAATTTCATGGAACAATTTGAGAAACTCCAGTGTTAGCTCCTCTTTAAAGATCTGGTGGAACTCTGCTGAGAATGCAACTGGCCCTGTGCTTTTCTTTTTTGATAGGCTTTTAATTGCAGTTTCAATTTCATTACTTGATTCAATCTGGGTAGGTCATAAGTGCCTAGAAATTTGTCAATGTCTTCTAGATTTTTCAGTTTATTGGAGTATAAATTTTCAAAAGTTTCCAATGATCCTTTGAATTTCAGATGTGCATGTGGTGATATCTCTTTTTTCATCTCTAATTTTGTTGATTTGAGTATTTTCTTTCTTTAGGTTAGTTTGGCTAAGAGTTTATCAATCTTATTTATCTTTTTGAAGAAGCAATTATTTTTTGCATTGATCCTGTGTATTATTCTTTTATGCCTGATTTCATTAATTTCTGCTCTGATTTATATTATTTCTTATCTTTTATTGATTTGGAGGTTTGTTTTTTCTTAAGGTAGTACATATGCTTATTATTGGACTCTAATTTTTATGATGTAGGCATTCAATGCAATAAATTTTCCTCTTGATACCAGTTTCATATTGTCCCAGATATTTCGACATGTTGTATTTTGTTTTTATTTGTTTCTAAGAATTTCTCCTCTTATTTCTTCTTCTATCCATTCTTCACTTAAAATAGTATTGTTTAATCTCCATGTGTTTATGTGTTTTCTATTATTTTTCTTGCTGTTGATCTCTAGTTTCATTCCATTAGGTTCTGACAGGATGCATAAGATTAAATCAATTTCTTTGTATTTGCTAAGACTTATATTGTAACCTAGAATATGGTCTATTTTGGAAAATATTCCATGAGCTGCTGAGAAGGCAAATTCAGCTGTTTGGGGGTGAAATATTCTGTAGATATCTACTAGGTCCATTTGATTTATAGTAGTACTTAGGTTGGATATATCTTTATTGATTTTATGCTTTGATGACCTGTCTATTGGTAACAGGAATGTAATGAAACAACCAATATTATTATATTAGGGTCTATCAAGAATTTAATATCAAGCATTTTTTAATATAATTGAGTGTATTGACATTTGGCGTACATATACATATTATTGTTATATCTTATTACTGGCTTATTCCCATTATCAGCCCCTGTGTCTCCTTTGATTAATTTTTGCATCTTTTAAAATAGGAGCCTAGCTACTCTAACTTGTTTACAAACTCCATTCACATACAATATCTTTTTCATCCTTTTACCTGTAAGTCTGTTGTAGACAGCATACAGTTGGCTCTTGCTTTTTGACCCATTCTGCTAACCTATATATTTTAATTAAGGTGTTGAAACAATTTATATTCACTCTTATTATGGATATGTGGTTTATTGCCATTTTGACTTCTTCTTATGTTTAATTCTATCTTGATTCTCATTTAGATGATTAGTCTTCTATTAATCATCATCTATTTGGGAGTTTTAGGATTTGTTTTGGCTTTCTCTATGAGCAGTTTACCTTGGAGAATTCTATGTAGTGCTGGCTTGGTTGTCATGAATTCTTTTAGTTTATCCTTGTAATGGAAAATTTTATTTACCCACTGAATATGAAAGGGAGTTATTAGGAGTATAGCAAACTCAGTTGATAACTGTTTTTAGAGTTTGGAATATCTCATTCCAAACCCTCCTGGAATGAGATGAGAAGTCAGAAGTGAGCCTTATTAGTTTGCCTCTAAATGTGAACTGATGTTTCTCTCTTGTAGCTTTTAATATTATGGTAGGCATTCTAATTAGGATGCATCTTGGAGAACTTCTCTTCATCAGGTCTTTTTGGGGTTCTGTTTGTTTCTTGTATGTGGATGTCTATCTCCTTTCTGATATTGGGAAAGTCTTCTGTGACTACCTCATTAATAATGTTCTTAAGGCCTTTAGCTTGTATCTCCATGTTCTCCATTAACCCAGTGATTCTCAGGTTTGGTCTCTTGATGTTGTCCCAAATCTCCTGTGTGTTCGGATCGTGTACTTTTTTTTTTTTTCCCTTTATGGTATTCTACTCAAATTCAAGTATCCTTTCTTCAGGCTTGAGGTTCTGTCTTCAAGTGCTGAAGTTCTATTTTCTATGCAATCTAAACTGTTGGTGATGCTTTCAAGTAAATTTTTAATTTGATTGACTATGTCTTTTACTTCCAGAAGTTCTGACTGGTTTCTTTTCAATATTTCTAAAAGATCCTAAAGAGAATTACTTAGAAAATTATTTCATTAAGAAGTGTAACCTAATATACTGTTTTAGATGGTAATATTACAGCCACTAAAATCTTCGATGGAAAAACATAAATCTTACCATTTTTCTGTAAAATACAGAAAGATCCTTCAAAACATCATCACTTAAAACATCAAGAGACCTAAAAGATAGGAAGTATAATTTTATCTTAAGACTCAAATGACTTAATACTTACCAAGTACATCTACATATCGCCAAATAAGTAATAAAGTTATTTTTCAAGCTTTATATGTACTAGCCTCTACAGATTCTTTTTGGAAATGGGTGCAGTTATGTATTATATATCTTAAGCAAACAACAAACATATTATACAAATATCAATAAATCTCAAGCAACTGTTATGAATAAATGTACAAAGAATCGTTTCTATCACTACAAAATAGCAAATACTCATTTTACAACCTTCATTTTCCAGAAATTATAATTAACTACAAAAGGAGTGCTATATTGATAGAATAGTGGGTTAAGTATCTGGATTCTATCAAGAATTATCACTTATACCAATTAACTGTATAATCTGAGCAACTCACTTTTGCTTAAGACAAATCTCAAGGACCTCTCAAGTTTCAAACAGGTATTTTAAGATAGCAGTGAAAATTTAAATCAAAGGTTACATTCTAATACAAACACTCTTTTAAAAAATTTTTTTTCTACAATCAGAAATAAATAACTTGTATATACCCTATCAGTTGTCAACACTTTGGAGATATACAATGCATTAATCTGTGATGCTAAGTCAATTCTGGTGCAGCCCTCAGTTTCCTAAATCTCTTCACATACTATTTATATTTCTAGCAAATACATGTTTGACAAAGAACAGTTAATTTTGCACAAATCTTTGTTTTAATGCAAGGTGTGCATCTCCTCATGTTAAGTTATGTAAGTAGAGATATCACCATAGCAGGTATTGTCCTTAAGTGGCTCAGTTGACACATCTGTCTCAACCTAGTAGCTGAAATAGGTGAAAGATATTGACACCATTTTCCAATATAATAATTTAGACAGAGTTGATGTATGTTATATATATATTTAGCTTGAAACTCTAGCTAGGTTCTGACACTTGGATATCAAATGCATTTTAAAATGACATTGTCTAGTATCTCAAAACATTAATGTGCATTCAAAAGCATTTTCCACAAACTAATAAAAACTGAAATAGCAAAAGAATTGTCTCTAAACTGAACCCTACCTGGAAATTGTTAATAATCTCTTTGTGATGTGCTTCCATAAACCAAAACACTGTATTTCAATCATGTTTTAGAATGTTTCATTAATCATGATTTTGAATTAATTTAAGATCATTCTGACTTTGAAAACTAAGTCATTAAAAAGTTGAAATCATTTATAACAAGTATATACATCTAAATTTTCAATTCTTTCCCAAAAATAAAAGAAAAAATATTGCCTTTGTTTTCGCTTTTGCAACTTAAGGATATTAACAAAATCTACTTATAAGATTTTTGTGAAAATAAAATGAATTAATCTATGTAACACATTTGGAAAACTTCCTAGTACACAGGAGACACTAAGTATTAGTTTTTATTATCAGTACTATTGAAACTAGATGATAAAGCTTTAAACTAAAACTGAAAATATGGCTTCTAAACTTAAGTAACTATGTTCCCTAGGAAAAGCTTCATTTTCCCCATTACTGATTTTTATAATAAGAAAAAAAATATTTTGACCTTGTATTTTTTAAAAAATATTAATTTTTTTCAATAAAAAATTGCTAAAAAGTTGACAAATTTCCAAATCCCCCTAATTCAAAAATGTTGACTCCTAACTTATTAGCATTTTCAAATTTGTTTACTTCAAATTTCCAAGTAAATATTATTATTCACTTTTAAATTACTAACATCTACTATTATATATAAACACCCATTTTTGCAAAAGTCATAGAATATGTACACAGAACTAACCTTGCTTCTAGTAAAGCTGCCATATTCAGTCCTATGAACTGTAAACAAGACAGTTTCAATTGTTCAGCATTATACAATGCCGCAAATTCTAGAAGCATAGCAGCATTCTTAAGGGTAACTACAAAGAAAGAAAAGATTTACAAAATTACATGAAAGGCATGCTACTACAAACAAATAAATACACTTAAGTTTGTAAGCTTTCAACATTCAAAACAAAGGAAACAATGGTTATTCTGTTTTACCAAAAATACAAAAATTTTTTCTGGGGCAAAATACAGAATTTAACTTCCACCCAAATATGCAAAAGTAATTTCAAAAGATTGGTTATAAGAAAAAACACACACAAATGAAAATTTTAAGCAAAACAAAATATAAAAGAAACACTGGGTGCCACCAAAAAGCAAATATATAAGAATTGACAATCTTCCACCAAATAATTTTTTATTATTAACTTTCACTAATGAACAACTTTCCTTTTCATTTGCATAGCAGAGTAGTCATTCTGTCTTCTATAAAAGTAAAAATGATATTAAGACTAAGAGGAACTGACAAAATAATTCTGTAAAATGCACTAAGTTGATTAATCTATCAGAATATATGTATACATTTAGAAAATGCATCTAAATCTTACCTTATTCATGCTAGTGCTGAATTTAATATATTCTGTGAAAGACTCTGGATAGTTATAATGCTAGGAACTTGATGTATGAAGAACCCTATTTTGCTAAGATATTCTACCTAAGTAACATATAATGTTAGCTTCCTGAACTTCTCTATCTTTTTCTTAGTTACCCTGATCTGCAGCCAACAGATGAACACAAGTGCTTTCTACACATGGCCTCTTCCATGCTTTTTTAATTCTTTCTCTGTTATACTCTCAAAAATTGAAATGGCAGTCAATAAAGGTCTCTACCTTACCGGACTAACCTTTCAGCTAATGATAAAAACATCTCACATCTCTCATAAATAATAAAATTGGATCATATAAAAACTTCTCTAAAATTATTTATTTGGGAACAAAGATTGACCAATAATCAAAGACCAAACTTCTATGGAACACTTCTTTTGCTAGGTTCTAGGAGTATTAAAGAATTAATAAAGGAAACTATGCAGAATAGCCAAGGAAGTTCAGGAAAGTCAACTGAACACGTGAAAATATCACCTATATGTATATCTTATACCTACTATATGTTGTGTTCTTTATTTTAATGTTTTTTATTTTCTTACTATTAAAAAAAGATCAAGGCTATTGTTCTCTTTTTTTATAACCAAGGAGAAGATGGTCCACGGTGCTCAAGGAAAGTGAATAAGAACAACAAGGCTAAGAAAACTCCTAGCAAGTACAAAGTAGAAAAATTTAACTACCTCCATACTACCAAAGCATCAATAAAGCAAAACAAATACAAGATTTTAGAAAGTAATAAAATCTTGCATATCAGGCTAAGAAAATTCAATCTGCATTCTAGAGAAAGCAATTAAAAATATCTAAACAAAGAAAAAACATTGTTACTTTCTATACAAAGATTAAAGAAAGTAGAAGGGAGAGAAGCATTTTAAAGACTACTAGAATACTACACAGAAGGGATGATTAACAGTGACCTCAACTAGCATAGTGACAGTGAGAATCAAAAGGTGAGGGAAATGTAATCAGCTTTGATAGCTAAAGAATCTGGGCATAAGGGACAAATTACAAATAATTTGGAATTTCAAAGTTGGAGTATTCAGGAAAAGTCATGAAATTAACTGAAATAATGGATAGAAAAAAGTTTGAGAGATGAAATTGGTTGAGATACATTAATGGAAGAATCATGTAAAACTTCCACCTTCAGTAGAAAATGAATAGCTAAAAACTATACCCAAGACCAGCAAAGTAGCAAAAAAAGAAAATTTAGCTTTAAAATTCTTATTCCTGAAATTCCAAAATAAATGACATTATTATTCATGATTTTATGACATTGCAATAAAAATTAACATCATATTTCAATTCAAAGATATGCATATTATCACATATTTCTGAGATAAGAATATACTTATACATGTAATAAAGTTTTGACACTTTTAAAGGAACAAAAAAATGAAGTATTTTACTGTAAACATAAAGAGTCATAGTTATTCGTCAATCTGAAAACATATTAATATTCTAATTTAAAATTACTCACGTTTTTCAGTTAATGCTACTTCACAAATCTCTTTCAATCGAGTTATAAGAAGCTGATCAGCTACCACAAGAACACTACAAATAAAATCCACATTTTGACATTCTAAAAAGAAAAAGAAAACAAGCATTACTTTGTTAAGCTATAACAATTATACCTTCCTAGGAGAAAAAGTGATATAAATAAGACATTAGGAAAGAGAAACATGATTACTTTCCACACGTTGGAATAAGAATTAAAATAAAAAGTAAATAGATTGAAATATTTCAAAGTTTTAGGTTGAAAGCTGAAAAAATACACCAAAATGCCTTGGCTCACATGAGACCATAAAATGTTCAACTACTACTAGAAGGCTACCAAATAGCTGACTTGTTTACAATCTCCTATGTTGTTAGAGAAAGTCAAATCTCTGCTCATATTTAAAATAAATTTATCATTTAACATCACTTTTAGAAACACCTGCCAGGTGCAGTGATGCACGCCTATAATACCAGAAACTCAGGAGGCTGAGGCAAGGAAGATTCCAAGTTCAAGGCTAGCCTCAACAACGAATCAAGACCCTCAGCAACTTAGCAAGACCCTGTCTAAATACTACCAATAGTCTATAAAATGCTCCTAGGCGACAGCCAAGTAACAACAGAAACAGGGAGAAAAGGGGAAGGAAGAAAAAGAAAAAATAATCTCTAACAACATAGGAGGAAAAAAAGGAATAGGAAGGAATAGCAAATGGATTTTAAAAATGGAGGAGGGAAGGTCATTGTGAATGATAATCTAAGAACTTTTAGAAATCCTTTCCTCCATAAAAGCAATGAGAAGACTCCCAATAATTATCTAAATCAACTTTATCTAGAAATCAAAGGCTTGCAGTAATTTGGGGGTATGTTTATTCAAGAAAAGTGACTGAATTTTTTCCAAGAACAGTGACATTTGGGATATTGTAGCTTTTCCTATTCAATCCCTCCTCTCCTTTTCTACATGGTATAACAGGTTAAGCATCCCTATTCAAAATCCAAAATCCAAATCTTTTTGAGTACTTATAAGGGACCAAAAGTTGAAAATACCACACGTGACCTCATGAGACAGGTCACAGTCAAAACAGAAACAGACTAAAAACATTGTGTAAAGTTATTTTCAGGCTATCTGTAATAGGTATGATCAAAACATAAGTGAATTTTAGGTTTAGATTTTGGTCCCATCTCAAAAGATAACTCATTACAATACAGAAATATTCCAAAAATTTTGAGACTATAAATAAAGAGCACATACAGTCCCAAACATTTTGGATAAATGATACTCAACCTGGACTGAAAACCAATAGATCCACAATTACCGTGAAAATGAGCAGCCTAGTAGCTGCTGGAGAAAACAAAAGTGGTTATGAAGTAATATTATCAAAGAACTATCAATATTTTGACCTGTCAGCTCTTCCCTTAAAATTCAACTAGAATAACTTGTCTTTATTTGACCTAACTCAAAGCTTCCCTAATGAGACCAACATTTTCCTTTATTGAAAATAATTAGCAGTGGGGCTGGGGATGTGGCTCAAGCGGTAGCGCGCAAGCCTGGCATGCCTGCGGCCTGGTTCCAATTCTCAGCACCACATACAAAAACAAAGATGTTGTGTCCGCTGAAAACTAAAAAATAAATACTAAAAATTCTCTCTCTCTCTCTCTCTCTCTCCCTCTCCCTCTCCCTCTCCTTCTCTCTCTCTTTTAAAAAAAATACAAAAAAAAAAGAAAATAATTAGCAGTAATCATTTTAACACTGAGTCTGCCTAAGATGACAGTTGGAACAAACAAGCAGCAGATAGAAAAAAAACCTTAAAAAGAAATACTAGAGAATAGAATGTTGTTAGACAAAATGCTTATAATGCCCCTCAAAATTCATATGTTGATGTCCTAATCCCCAGTGTTGTATTTGAAAATAGGGATTCTATGGAAGTAATTAAGATTAAATGAGGCTATAAGGTTGGAGCCCTAACTCAACAGGATTAGTATACCTCTAAGAGGAGATCACAGAGACCTTGCTTACTCTCTTTCCACACATATGCATTAAGGAATGGCCTTGTGAAGACATAGCAAGAGGCAATATGTGCAAATCTAGAAAGGAGCTCTTATCAGAAACCAATGTTGCCAGAACATGCTCTAGAATATCTAGCTTCCAAAACCATGAGAAAATTACTATATGTAACTTAAGTCACACAGTTTCTTTGGTATGGTTTGGCAGCCTAAGCAAACCAATACAGATGTCTATAGGAGGTTTTGAAAACTTCCAAAATATTCCTGTGAATCTAGCTATACACAAGTAGAGGGCTAAAAACATACCCAGCAAAGACTTTTTAAGGCCCTACCTCTTACCTCTGGCTTACACTGAGACTGTGCACAAAAGGAAACAAATTGAGTTGTAAACTGCCTGCCAGAATAATGACAAGTCCCCAACACACAAAAGTGAGAAGATTTATTATTTCCAGGCATTTACAGAAATGTCTCTCAAATAATTAGCTGATCACTAACCTAACCAAGCAGTCATTTCAGTGTTCACAAAGGATGAATAAAGAAATTACAGAATTAGTTCAGGAAAGTTGTTGGAAAAAAAAAACAAACCTGTGGATGAGGTAAGAATCTGGATCTCCACAGCTGCTACACTATATTATTTAAAGTCCAATTTTCAACAACAAAACTTTATGAAAGATGAAATGAAAAAAATTCAAGTATAACCTATGCACACACACACACAAAAAAAGTAGGCAGAAGAAACTGTTGCTGAGGAAGACTTCAGATTTACTAGATAAGACTTTAAATCACCTATTTTAAATATGTCTGAAGAACTAAAAGAAACCCTGTCTTAAAAAATTAAAGAATGAAGACAATGTTAGGGTTAAAACTAGAATATCATTAAAGAGAAGTTAAAGGTCAGTTGAGATTACCTAATGTAAGGAACAGAAAGAAAAATGAGCAAAACCCAAAAGTCCTTATAGAGATCCACTATGCATACCAAGATACAAATGAAAGTCCCAGAAGGAAAAAATGAGAGAAAGGAAAAAAAGAATATTAAGTAATAATAACTGAAAAATTTTCAAATTTGATTTTTTTAAAAAATATATCTGCATATCCAAAAAGCACACAAACTCCAAGTAAGGTAAATTCAAAGGTATTCACATCTAGATACAATAAACTGTTGGAAACTAAAGAAAATCTTGAGATCAGCAGGAGAGAAACAACTAATCATGTGTTAGGGATCCTCAATGAGATTAAGATCTGATAAGACATGAGAAAGCAATGGGATGGCATATTAATAATAGTAAAACAAAAAGACCATCACCAAGAATTCTATTATCTAGCAAAACTATCCTTCAAGAATGAAGAAATTGAGATGTTCACAGATTAATAACAAAAAAGGAGAATTTGTCTCTAGTTAATCTGCTCTAACAAGAAATGCTAAAAGTAGAACTTCAAACGGAACTAAAAGGGCACTTCAAAGATAATTCAAATCCATCAAGAACATCCATAAACCTAACTACACAAATAAGTAAAAAAGATAGTATAAAAATATAAATGTATTCTTCTTCTTAACCTTTTTTTTTACAACTGCATAAAACAATAACAAATACATGTTGATGGGCATGTAATATACAAAGGTATAATATGAATGACAAATAGCACAAAGGAGTAGGAAGGAAAGGGTGCTATAACGAAACAACATTTTTTAAATGATACTGAAATTAAGTTAGCATTAATACGAACAGGATTGTTTTAACTTATGATATTAATTACAGTCCCCAGAGTAACCATTAAAAAATTACTTCTACAAGAGCATTTCAAAAGCAAAGGAGAAAATATCCGTTTGACACAAAAGGGGGCAGTAATAAAGAAGAAGAAAGATCTCCAACCAATAGTCTACTTCCATTTTAAGAAACTACAGAAAAGAAGAATAAGCCAACACAGAGCAAGCAGAAAGAAAACAATGATAAAAATTAGGCTGGAATCAACAAAACAAGAATAAAAAAACAAGGTATACAAACAAAACTCAAAGTTGTTTTATGAAAAAAAAAAATCATAAAATTGACAAATCTTTAGGAAAATGATCAATAAAAAAAATAGAGAGAAGACTTTAATTACCAAAATCAAGAAAGAAAAAAGTAACTTGATAAAACCAACCAGAAGTAAAAAAGGTTAACAGACACTACAAACTATGAACACATTTGTATGCTAACAAAGCAAAAATCCAGATAAAATGAACAAATCTGTAGAACACACATTACTTAAATTGATTCAATATAAAACTGAGCAGATCTACAATAAGTAAAGGGATTAAATTAGTAATTAAAAATCTTTGTACAATGAAAAGTGCAGGATCAGATTGCTTCATTGACAAATTTGGCCAAATGTTTAACACCAATTGTCCCCAAATTCTTCAAAAGTATGTTAGAACAAATTCCATCTCATTCAATGATGTCAACAATGTCCTGATACTAAAGCCAAACAGAAACATTACAGGAAAACTAAGACTAATATCCATTTTATGATTATAGATACAAAAAATACTAAACTGAATCCAGTAACATAAAAAAGAATTACACATGATTAAGTAGAATATTCCCAGAATGAAAGACTCTACATATAAAAATCAACCAATATAATGAACAAAAATGGAACTAAAGGACAGAAAAAGTGATTTAAATCATCTCAAGAGACACAGAAAAGCATTTAATGAAGACTGATTCCCTTTCATGATAAAAACACTCAAACCAGGAATAGAAAAATCTTCCCCAACTTGATAAACAATTACCAAAAAAAAAATAAATAAAAAATCCTACAACTAACTAACTAATAGTGACTCAATTCTTTCCTCCTAAGATTAGGAACAACACAAGGATAGACTCCACACAACACTGTAAAAGAAGTTCTTATAGTCAGAGTCGCTAGGCAGGAAAAAGAAATAAAAGGCATCCAGATTATAAAGGAAGAAGTAAAACCATCTCTATTTGCAGATAACATGATATTGTATAAAGGAAATCCTAAGAAATCCACTTAAAACTAACAGAACTAGTGAAAGAATCCAATTGCTATCTTAAGCAGTAGCAAAGAACAATCCAAAAATGAAAATTTGAAATCATTTCAATTTAAAAGTAGCAGGAAAAAGAATACTTGGGAATAATTTTAATAAAAGAAAAACAAGGCTTGTACATTGAAAGCTATCTTAAAAATCACTGACAAAAATTAAAGACAAAAAATGGAAAGACAACCATGGTTGATGGTAAGAATCTTCAAACTGATTTACACATTCATCACCATCACTATTAAAACCACAGCTACCTCTTTTGCAGAAATTGACAAACTAATCCTAAAATTCATATGAAAATGTCAGGATCCAAAACATCTTGAAACAGAATAAAGGAGGAGGACTCACATTTCTCACCTTCAAAACTTACTACACAGCAATGGTTATTTAGACAGTGTGGTACTGGCCAAAAGACACAAATATATCAATGGAACAGAACTGAGAAACAAGAAATAAAATCTTACATTTACAATCAACTGATTTTTGAGGAAAGTGCCAAAACAATTCAATGGGGAAATAAAAACCTGTTTAAGATGATACTACAGCAACTAGATAAACACATGTAAAAGAAGGAAGTTGGACCCTTAACCCACAACACAAAAAAAATAACTAACTCAATTACAAAAGTGGTTACCTAGGGCCAGGGATGGGAGAAATGCAGAACATTGCACATTGTACTACAAACAAGTAAGTTCTAGAGACTTATTGGTCTGCTAGGTGACAAGTTTGTTAATAATAACGTGTTGTACACTTGAAATTTGCCAAGAGAGATCTTAAGCATTCTTGCCCCCACCAAAAAAAACAATTAACTATTTAAGGTGATACATATATTAATTAGTTTAATTATGATAATCATTTCACAAGTAATACATATGTCAAAACATTACCTTGTATATCTGAATATACACAATTCATATTTGTGAATTATACCTCAATACAGCTGGGGGAATAATTAAGCAAAATTAATCAAAGACTCTAATGTGAGCGACATGATTTCCTCTTAAGAGGAAAATACAGGAAGTAATTGTCATGACCTCAGCTTTGACAATGGATTCTCAATATGATAACAAAAGCATGAGCAGCAAGTAAAAATAGGTAATCTGGACTTCAACAAAACTAAAACTTTTATATGTTAAAAGACTCTATAAAGAAAATGAAAATATAACCCAGAGAACAAGAAAAATATACGATAATCTACCCAGGGTATTTAAGAACTTTTACAACATAATAAAAAACAAGCAAGGCACAGTGGCGCAAGCCTATAATCCCAGCAACTCGGGAGGCTAAGGTAGTAGGATCACAAGTTCAAAACCAGCCTCAGCAACTTGGTGAGTCCCTAGGCATCTAAGTGAGAGCCTGTCTCCAAATAAAAAGTAAAAAGGGTTGGGATGTGACTCAGTGGTTAAGTGCCCCTGGGTTTAATCCCTGGCACCAAAAAAAAAAAAAAAAAAAAACCTGACTAATTGAAATAAAAATGACCCAAATTTTTAAACACTTTTCAAAGATGATACACATTTGGTCATAAAACACATGAAAAGATGTTCAACATCACTGGAGAAATGCAAAACAAAATCACAATGTTATACTACTTTACACCCACTAGAAGTTACAAGAAAACAAACATTAAAGAGTATCGGAAGGATGTGGAGAAAATGGAACTTTAATGTGCACTTCCAGTAAGAAAGTTAAAACAGTCACTTTTTAAAGTTCAGCAGTTCCTAAAAACTAACTTAAGAGTTACTATATGACCCAGCGCTTTAACTTCTAGGTATATGGCTTAAAAACAACAAAAACACAAGCCCACAAAAATAATTCCTTATAGCTAAAAAGTGAAAATATCTCAAATGTCCATCAACTAATGAATGAATAAATAAAATGTGGTATATCTACAAAAAGGATATTATTTGGCAATAGAAAATATGATGTGCTAGTATATGCTATAACATAATAATTGAAAACATAATGCTAAGTAAGAGAAGTTAAACATAAAAGGGCACATAATGTTTCATTTTATTTTTATGCAATGTGCAGAAAAGGCATAGAGAAAGGAAAAAAGTATATTAGTCATTACCAGGGACCAGAAGGTGGATGAGTGGAAAGTATTTGCTTACTGGGTAAAAGGTTTCTTTATTAGAGTAAGGAAAATGCACTAGAATTAGAAAATGCTGAGCTATACCATTTTGAAATATACTAAAAACCATTTAATCATACACTTTAGAAGAATAAACTTTATGGCATATAATAATTTTTTTTAAAAAATGACAGAAATAGAAGAAAAGTACCAATGTTTCCACTATCCTCTTAAAGTACACAAATCTTTAGAAAATTTGTTCTCAGTTAAATACTACCTCCTTTACAAACACTGTTCAGATTTCCCCACATATATTTAGACGCTAGTTTCTCAAAAATGTACCCATTTTTTAGAGGGTTACTCTGTTTAGTTATACTTGTTTTCTTATGTAGTCGTTTTTTACATTAGATTGTAGGTGTCTTAAAAATAAAGGCAGAAACTTTAAATTTTTTATCCTTAATATACAGCTAAGGCTAAAAAACAATGGTAAAATAATATTACAGAACACTCAATACCACTCCAACAACTAAAGAAACCTGATGTTGTACAACTAAAATATGGTGTCTTGCCTGACAAAGCATATAAATGTAGTCTCTTCATAAATTTTGGCTCAATTCTTCATCTACTTCTTTCACTTCTGGTGTGTTATTACAAGGGGGGAAATAGGCAAGAAACAACTTAAGTAAGGAATTTGACAAAACTATATTCCCTGTTCTCCATTCATCTCAACTGTAGAGTAGCTGAAAATGGAACTGCTAAATATAATAGAAAGCCTAGGTGTTTTCTATTTAAGTCTTGACCTCAATCCATACACCACTGCTGGGAGCCATTAGCCAAGTAGGTATGACAACTTCCTTGCCAGCGTACCCCATGTTGCTTAGTTGAAGGACTCCTGGAAATAGGACATTTTGCAGTGACATTGCATCTAAGGTGACCTTGCTCAAGGACCAGGGCGGATCCCGGTTTAGGGTGTTCCTGGTTTAGGACTATCCTGTTTAGGACTATCAGGGTTTAGGGTGGTTCCAGGTTTAAGGTTATTCCTGCTGGGAATAGGGCGTATCCTGCTGCCTGAGTTCCCCTTGAATTCTCACGGGATTCAGACAGTATTTTTGGGGAGACAGAAGCCCAGTGGGGGTGGATTTGGGCAGAGAACGTGGATTTTCCCCAGAATGTGATTGTAGATGGCTGGTGTGAGTTCGGGAATAAAGAGTTGCTGTTTGAATCTACAAGCTGTGTGGTGGCTTGTGATTTTGTGCCCAGCCAGACTGCAGCACACCACTCAATATTACATACAAGTCTCAAAGAGTTCAAGGGATATTGAAAACTCTTTCTGTACTTTCACTGTTAGTAATCATCCTACTGCTTATTTTAAATTAAGCCTCTAATGACAGCTTATTTAAAGTAGTGTCAAAATTAAGTCTTATGTTTATTTTATCATTATTTTATTATACACAATCTAAAATTTTCTAAAAGTACCTGTTATCACCACAGCTTCATCAGTATAGAGGTAGTCCAAAATAATCTTCAGTATGTCAGAATGTATTGCCATTTCCAGAGCTGCACAACTGGAAGCCTAGGTAAATTAAGATAAAATAAAGGAAAACAATTAATTTTAAACATTATTGTAAAGTTTAAAATAAAGTACGACTATATTCTAACTTGAGTTATTTGATATGAAAAACTCTGGATAAGAAATCACATTAAAAGCAAAAAATAAATCTATAAAACACAAAGCTAAAATTACATTCAATATTAAAATAACAAAAAATGAACAAAGAAAATTTCAGAAAATAAGGAACACACTAGCATTCCTAACACATTTCTAGATAAAAACAAGACTATTTTGATTTCAAAAGCCTTTTATCATCAATTCTAACTTCTAAGTGTAAAGAATTTTAGTTATTTGCCTAGGTGCTTTCTATTTAAGTCTTACCTCAATCCACGAGCTGCTCAGCATACTATGAAAATATTCTGAAAGGGAAAAAGTTTGATGTAATAAGAATAGTGAAACAAGACTAAAACAAATAAATCAGCAGTTAACAAAAAATATACCTACCAAGTCTAGCACAAAGAACACATTTATGACAAGGAAATTCCTTTCCATCCACTGATTTCATGGTCACATCACACAGAAATGAACTGCAAAATAAAAATAAAAATGTTTATTGAAGCTGGGTGTGGCACATACCTATAATCCCAGCAGCTCCGGAGGCAGAGACAGGAGAATTTCAAGTTAAAGCCAGCCTCAGCAAAAAGCAAGGCACAAAACAACTCAGTGAGACTCTGTCTCTAATAAAATACAAAATAGGGCTGGGGATGTGGCTCAGCAGTTGAGTGCCCCTAAGTTCAAACCCTGGTACCAAAAGAAAAAAAAAATGTTTATTGAAGCAAGAGTGATTTCTTTACATTATTAAGCAAATAAAATATATCAAAGGATTTGACTTAACTTTATATTTTGTTTTAGATAAAGGTGGCAGAGAATAAAAATCTTGTGGATATACATATAAATAACATACTTCATCTCCCTCCACCTCAGGGAAAACAATTAAGTCTTAATAAAAAGATAACATTTGAAAAGAAAACTGAGCACAAATAAATATTCAAAAAAGACTTTCTCCTGGTTTTACTTTTTTATTTCCATGTAAAGTATTAACAAGAGTTAAAGCAACTCCATGTTTAAAGTTCTTTAATTCAATTACTTGTACCTATTTTGTGCCAAGCAGAGTCTGGACACCTACACAGTTTCTTTTTCTCCAAAACTTTTCACCTACAAATACTTAAAATGAAACTTTTGATAATAAATATACTTAGAGTAGCATATTTATACATGGAAAAAAGTATACTAAAGGAAATAGTCATCATAATGATGGAAATATGCAATTTGGTTTTTAGGACTAAATCAAATACTACTAACAATAAGATATAAAATTCAAGCAAGAAAAAAAAATTTCTAAATTCACATCAGAAAGAGTGAACTCCTTCAATGTCTTATTGAGCAGTTAATGTTTTATCCATTAACTCAATAGCTCTCTAAAATTTCCAAAAATGAAGACTAGAAAAGGTAAGAGGATATCTACCTAAGATCTTTGATTTCTACATTTGTACACCAAAATCCAGACATGAAAGTTTATCTTCATTATCTAACTTACCATTTTTTCTGATTCAGTTTCAGTTTATTACCAGTTTTCTTAGCAATAACATTAATTTTTTCATTTTCAAATCTGACTTCATCTAACCTATCAAGAAAAGAAAAAAAATCAACAAGTGGATACACTCCACTACCAAGATTAAAAGACAAACATACAAAAATCAAACAATTTAGTTCATATCTGAACATAATCATATCATCATTTAGAAAAGTATCTAACAAACCCCATTATAACATTTAAGAATAATTAATTTTTCTTTGCTTTTAATTAGAATTAAAAATATATTCAATATCATTATTGAAAATAGCAAATCAAAGATATAGCACAAAGTCCTTCAGCATTGTTAAATAGAAATATTATATACACTCCTCCCCTTCTCACAATCCTCAATTAATGTTATTCTTTTGCAAGTAACAAAAAGGTCTTAAAATAGAGAATAACAAAGAATCTGATTTATAATGTGACAGATACTGTTTCAGGCACTTTACATATGCTATACAACAAAACTTTGCCAATAACATGAGGTGAATATTATCCCTACTATATATTGAGAACATGAGTTACAAGCTGTTAGAGTCTGTAAACAAGTCAAAATAACACCTGGCATTTTGCCAGGGGAATGTTAGAGTTCATAAACAAGTCTGGATGGTGCCTGGCAAAATGCCAGAGGGAGTGGTTTGAGAAGTAACAAAAGCGAGCCATTAAGTGTAGAGATTCCTGATTGGTTGACTGCTGTATCTAGTTTATGCTAATTAGATAAGCTGTGTGGAATGTATAAATACTGCTCCTGTCCTGCAATAAACGGCTCCTACTCCTGCTGTGTCAACGTACACAAGTTATTCGTCACCCCCCGGTTATTTTGCTGCAGCCAGCCGGACTGCGGCAGATGGTGGCCCGTACGGGGAGCCCCGGGACACTCGGGGGTAAGTGACGAAAAAAAGCTGCCCGTCCATAGATAGGACGGGAGCAAATCTGCTCGTCCCTAGGCACATAGGGCGAGAGGAAAAATGGCCATTTCGAGAAAATGGAGAAGATTGATACAGTATGTTTGTGTCTTGTTTTGTCTCAGTGTATTGTATTGTCTTTGTGATGAAAATATGGAAGGGGTGAGAAGTAAATTACTAAGGGAAGAAGGCACCCCAGTGGAACCAAGAATAGTTAGGGCATGTGTTGATAGAAGCCCAGGAACTCTAGTCAGAAAGAAAAAGAAAATTCAGAAGAAGGATTATCAGGAAAAAAGTTGCAGCAAAAGGCTGTTACTAAATACTTTTCGTTACCGGAGGGTGCGTGAAGCAGAGAGGCGGCTGCTGAGTGTGCAAGCCGGTCACAGCGCAACAAGGATTTTCCAAGAGGCAGCGGCGACTGGCCCTTCCCCGCCTCCTGGCCGGGGAGCTGGCTCTTCCACTGCCGCGAGCCCAAATCTAGACCTGACCTGGAGGCACAGTCTCGCAGGCTCTTGCTCCCTGTGCCCAGTAGCAGTTTGAGTCCGGGACACTCCCCAGGGCCATCTGGGGCTGCCCAGGATGCCACAGCTGGCAGAAGACGCTACCAGCGTCCCTGATGTTTGGTCATTTTCAATGCCAATAACTAAGCTACAATGGTTCTCCCACACCTGGAAGCTAATGAGTAATAACACTATTAATGCTTATTTCAAATGTAAAAAACCTCGAGATAATGTACTAAATTGTTCAGAAGGTTGTTTTCTTAGTAGAATGCTACAGGATTTTCTTTAGCCATCCGGAGTTCCTGTCTTCGTCCCAGTGCCGGTAAAGACCAAGGTGGAAGAATTTCCAGTGTTGCTGAAAACCGGACAAGACTTCGGCTGAGAAACGGACGAGACTTCGGATCAAGCTAGCTGCCTGCAGAACTTACCTGGACTGTGATTTAAGCTAGCTGCCTGCAGAACTTACCTGGACTGTGATTTAAGCTAGCTGCCTGCAGAACTTACCTGGACTATGATTTACCTGGACTGTGAGTTAATCTATTTGAGACACTACTTTACCTGGACTGAGACAACAAACTGTAATCTATAACAAATTGTAACTCAGTATCTTTGCAAACGGTGTCATTGCTGGTATAATTTTTCCAAGGGCTTCTTGCATGGAGCCATCAAGTGGCTTGGTATTGTGGCATTTTGTATCCTTCCTTTCTGTTTGTAGCAGGTTATTTATGGTGTTTCTGTAAAAACCACTATGGTTGTTATTTAAATTAAACAAAAGGGGGAAATGTTAGAGTCTGTAAACAAGTCAAAATAACACCTGGCATTTTGCCAAGGGAATGTTAGAGTTCATAAACAAGTCTGGATGGTGCCTGGCAAAATGCCAGAGGGAGTGGTTTGAGAAGTAACAAAAGCGAGCCATTAAGTGTGGAGATTCCTGATTGGTTGACTGCTGTATCTAGTTTATGCTAATTAGATAAGCTGTGTGGAATGTATAAATACTGCTCCTGTCCTGCAATAAACGGCTCCTACTCCTGCTGTATCAACGTACACAAGTTATTCGTCACCCCCCGGTTATTTTGCTGCAGCCAGCCGGACTGCGGCAACAAGCAAACTATTAAATATGCCCCAGCCAGCAATCCAGTAATAGTAGACTAAGGAGCATAATTTCATGAGTCTTTCTAATTCCCAAGATCTTTCTAGCACACCACATTGCTTGTCACTGTAGATCCCTATTAGAGAGCCATACCACAATGGGCAGAAATCCTCTAACAGCCTTCCTACCCTTTAATGTCCAAACCAAGGAGTCCCCCAGAGATGTCTCTACTAGAAAACAGAACACATCAATGAACCTCTCCCAAAAAAGGAGTGGGAGCAGTGGGGATAAGAAAACAAAAAAAGAAAAGGTAAAAATATTTAAACAGGAGAATTCAGGTCCAAGACAGATATTAAGGAGTCATACCTACTACTCAGATTACTGAGGCCAAATTTCTTTGCAACATTTTGCAACATTCTTACAGGATCATCTTCCCCGGCACTTTTTCCTTTTTTAGATTTAGGTTTGCTCTTCTGCCTTTCACTAATTCTATGAGCTTGATTACTTTTATAAACTTCAAATGCTGTCTTCTGATTATCATCTTCATGGCAATTCATTTTATTCATATGAGAACTCAGAGTACCCTGATATTCTTCTGGTTTTCTGTTTAAGGGTATTCGTGGTTTGAAGCCATGAGTTAAAAAGTCACAAGTTTCTGTATATATGAATTGTAAAAGGTACTCAAACAACTCAGGATGAACTTTCTCTATCACAAAGAGAGGGCATCCTGCAGAATCTTCATCTTTCTGGTAAACATCTGAAAATTCTGAAGTGGTACCATCTGAAAGAAACAATTTCTGAAAAAAGTCAGAACGCACTGCCAAAATATATTTATGTGCAGGAAAGATTCTGTTGCCAACTTGAAATGTTACATCGTGAATGTTGTCCATTTCATCTGCTTCCCTCAACAGTTTGCCAAATTCTTCAGAAAAGGATGATGAGCACACAGCTGGAATTTCATAAAGGCTAGAAGTAGAACAAAAATAATTTTTACTTTAAAGAAAATTGGGAGAAAAAAGCATCCCTGGTTGATTCCTTTGAAAATCAAATGACGTTATTTATTAAACTTAGAAAATTTTATTTATTTAGATTTTTTCTTAATTTGGTAGTCCTCAAATATAAAAATACCACAAAGTCTTAGAAATTGTATCAATCTTAATTCTTTCTGTTCCTTTTTCTATTTGTATTTTTCTCTCATACTAAAACAACAAGAATTAAGTTTTCCTTTGAAAGCAATATTCCCTGTTGCTACAATGAAATGTTAAGCAATGTAAATTCAAATGGATGTTTCACATAAAGTTTTTAAATTACTAAACACAACTAAAAACATTCAAAAATGAGTAAAGAGTATTTTCTCAATTTTTCCTCTTTCAAATATCTTATTTTACAAGTGAAGAAACACAAACCAAGGACTGAGTGAACACTTTAAGTCCCAAATCAAAAAATATGTTACACACTCAAGTCAAAATAAATATTAAGATACACAAACAATTTGTAATACTGGTTCTTTCAGAACTACATCAATGTAATCACACATTCCCAACTTACCCTTTAACTTTCCTGATTTGACTGAAGGGTTTCCCAGGAGATGAGACTTTCACTGCTAAAACTAGGACAGACCTGAGCAAACCAGAATGGATGGTCACCCTACTGCCAAGACTACTTCTTTGTTCAACAACACCCTTGGTTCTTATCTTAACCTATCTGTCTATTAATGTGATGTAGGAAATTTGCAGTGGGATTCTATGCTATAGATGTTTCTACTCCACCTCTTCTTTTTGTCAATTCCCATCATATGCAAGGGTCAGAGATTTTCACAAACTGCTAAGAAATATTTATAATACATTTCTCAGAATTTGAGAATTCAAGAACACAGCATAAAGTACTAAAAACAAATTATACATGTGCATGTATACATATCTTCAATATTTTCAATAGGCATTAGGTTACAAACTAAAGGGAACACTAATCATTCCTATCTAGTATTAACAAATTCCACCTTTGGATTATCCTGGTAACATGTTTGTCTTAAGGTCTCTACAGGACTTGGCAACAGCACTCAAATGTGTACTAGGAACTACTGAAAACAAAAGAAAACCCAGTCATCATTCCTTCTAAAAATGAAATTTAATAATTACAAGTATACCTTGTTTTAGGATCTGACTGCAGGATTGCAAAGTTGCATCCACTTGGGTCTGTGCTGACACTAACAGCTCTATGAGCAAAAGAAAGTTTCTCAAGTCGAATTCTTTCATACACACTATTTGTATCAGAAGCATAAAACCCATCTGATGAGGGATTATGTAGGTTTGATAAAACGTCTGCCAAAAAAAAATAATATGCTACAATTAATCAAAGCTTTACAGGAATTATTAAAATGATTTAGGAGTAAAAGGAATAGAAAAACAATTGGAAAAAATATGGAATATCTTTTATATTTATTATTTTGAAGCATTACATACCCTCTTCAACACAACATTTTACATTAAATATTTGTTGTATTACAGAGAATTTTTAGTGAATCAATTCTTAATTGGTCATGATTTCATTTCTTTGAGCAAAAACATCCTTCATATTGTAACCAAAATTCTTTCTAAAAGGCTAATGTAATATTTTAGTTTTTAAAACTCTTCAACCTACATTTAAACTATATAAACTTACTGTCTTCATAATCTGCCTACTTATTTCCTTTCTTTTTTCTTTTTCTTGCATTTATTCAGCAAATACCTAAATGACTATACTGTACTACTGTAATACAGTGATCATGTGTCGACCTGTAGGGATACTTTAGTGATCAAGAAAGAAACATCCCTACCCTCAGTAAGTACACAATCTAGAAAGACATTAAACAAGAATGTACCATTACAGGTCAAATCAAAACTATGAGAGCAAACTATATAGTGCTTCCACAAGAGTCATGAAATCTGCATATGAAGAGATGACTCTAGCTAAAATGTGAAGAATTTTTAAAGTACACAAGAATAAAGAATCTGTATTACTTTACATTCCAAAAAATGAATAAATGATATAGACTGAGTTGGTAGCAATTGATGTACAGAAAAGTAAAAAGATTTCAAAAGCATCTGAGATAGAAGAAACAAAATTCAGTAACTCATTAGATGTGCCAGACAGAGAATATGGGGTGTTGAAAATAACCATTTACTAAAACTAAAAACCAGACATGGGATCATGAGACCATGAATTCAATTACTAAACATTGCCTAAGACACAATTCTAAGAATTTTCAGTATTTACAAGTGAAACCTGTGTTCTAGTTACTCTCTCAAATTCCCTCTATTTCTGTCTTAGGGAAGCTCTACTAGTCTTTCTCTAACACTTGTTCCCCCACCACCAATTTCTAGGTTCTTAAGAAACTTACGTGCCTATGAGCATCAATCTCAGAACCATGTATATATAAACTTAGGAGTCCCTGAGAACAGGGATTCATATTTTCACATCATGAAAACTTCTCTGGCCAGGAGCAGTTCCACACACCTGTAATCCCAGTTGCTCAGGAGGCTGAAGCCAGGAGCATTGCAAGTTCAAAGTCAGTCTCAGCAATTTAGCGAGGCCCTAAGCAACTTAGTGAGGCCTTGTCTCAAAATGAAATACAAAAAGGGCTGGGGATGTGGCTCAGTGTTTAAGCCCACTGGGTACAATCCCTGATAACAACAACAAAAAAACTTCTCCCTGTCTCTAGCACACAGTAAATATACTTTAAATGTTACCAGATTTGAATAATCTATAAATAAATAAAATACAAAAAATAATAAATTATCCAAAATTAAAATGTTTATTACATATATTTTTAGCATTTAATAACTAAATTTATTCATTCAACAGATGACTTAATGAGGAACTACAATGTTCCAGGAAATAGGACAAATGCTAAAGGTACAGTGGAATGTGCCCCCTTGTCATCACTGAACTTACAGTCCAATAGGAGACAAGCATTAAGAAACAAATCACAAAGATATTGCATAAATGACTAAAGGTAAAACCTAATAATATTGTTAAGTTAACTGAAAGGGACTTTAATGTGCTGTCCACATATGTGAACTAACCTTTCTTTTCAGAACTCTTTCTTTTTTCTTCAAACCATTTCCCTCTAAATCCTTCCCCATCCTGTGTGACAAACAGAATTTCATTTCTATTTAAAGCAATATCAGAAATGAAGACCTGGCGTGGATAGGCCCATCGACACTGCTTCAGAGAACTATTGACTGATCTCCAGCAAAATACCTAAAATAAAACCAAATCACATCAGAATATAAAGCAACACAGCAGCTGAACAAGTAAAATCTGAAGTCAAGGAACAATATTGTCAAAATAAAAGCTCTAAATAGTATGTTTTAATGCTCATTTTTCTACAGAATAAATACTACAAAAATCAAGCTGATTTGAAAGAACTTTCAGAAAAATACATTAAGCAAACATGAAGCATTAAAAATTACTTCAAAGACACTCCTCTTAATAAGAAATAATTTGGGGTTGAGAATATAGCTCAATTGGTAGAGTACTTGCCTCACATGTACAAGACTCTGGGTTCAATCCTCAGAACCACCAAAAAAAAAAAAAAAAAGAAAGAAAGAATTTTCAGTATTACTTATTAGGGACAAATAGATTTGGTACAATGCTATAGAAAAACAAAATCTTAAAACCTGAATTTCAGGTTTACTATAGCTATCTATTTGCAAGATTGAAAATCACCCTATGAAAATCCAAAGTAAACTCTCAAAAAAAAAAAAAAAAAGTAGATGTGTGCTTAACTCAGACAAGTAACTCAAACACAATCTCGAGAGAGAAAAAAATCATCAAGAGTTCAATGGTTTCAAATGGTACTGGCAAAACCCAGTGGTCCTGAGAAGTGAATCTGGGACAATCGCTAAGAGACAGAGAGAATAAGGAAAGGTAGTTTATTAGGTTTCCTAATCCAGCTTTATGCAGGGAAGCAACTCTTGTATCTGTTTCTATACTGGCATTCCATGTATGCTTTCATTTGAAAAATTAAAACTGCTGATTTTTGAGACTAATTCCCTCATCATCAAATTTTAAAAACTAAAGCACAAACAGTAACCACCAAGATCATACATGTTACTTTCATGAAAAATCTATAGAATTATCAATGACAGTAATTTACACCAATAATGAACCAGACATAGAGATTTATGATTAATTCTTCAATTTCCAAAATGTCTAATTTTACAGCACTTTTTAGACAGAAAACATTCCTATTTTTTACTTCATAAGCAAAAAAGACAGAAAACTATGAATTTTTTGGCCAAAGTCTATAATTTTTTCAGTGTTACCAATGCATTTCTTTTTAAATGTAATTTTTAATTTAAACACTTCTAAGTTTTATTATAAATTTAAAATATTATATATGGTATACAAATATCAATGCATATTTAAGTATACATTTAAACATACAAATTGAAAATATATTTCAAATTAACCATCTTATTAGATAAATGTACAGCTATATTTGTACAGGGAAGTAAAATTAAAACTAAGAGGTAAGATTCTTCATATATAATGATCTGAAAATATACTAGCTTTTACATACATAATGTGAATAGTTATAATCTGTGCATTTATATAATGTGAACATTTGTATAACACTAAATCTGAGGGAAAATTTTCCAATTATGCACCAAATTTGCAATATTGGCTGCTGAGTCTTTACTTTTTAAGAGTAGTTACATGACATCCCTTAGCTATGCAATCCGACACCACTTATCAATACTCAGTGTGCATACCTAATAATTCATCAAAATTCTTTATGTTCATTTTAAGAACAATAAATAGAATTTTAATTTATAGTTTGACACTGTAATACTGTGAACATTAGATTAAATGTTGTCATACTTCCTCTGAAATACTAGCTTATATTACATAGTATCAGATGTCAAAAATAAGTAAGAAAGTCAACAGAAATCATCAGAGAAATGGTAAAACATTCTCACACTGTTAGATCTCCTATGCCTGTCAAATGAGCTTTTACATAAATACACTCACCCTTCCAGCTCCATCCATTGCAAGAATGCAGATTTTTTGACCCCCATTTTCTTTCAAATGTTCCGGATCAACCTTATATTCCATACAACCCCCAGACACAAGAACCTTTTTCAAGTTTAGTTGTCTGGATGGAAAAGAAAAAAATTCCTCAATTAATATATTCTCTAAAGTAAACATGATTAACTTTAAAGATATAACTAATCAGATAATAATTAATAGGCAATTATTATGAAAGATGAAGTAAAATGATCTGGTCTCTGGAATCACCAGTCTCTCCTTTCTTTAAGTTGGTGGTTGACTTTCGTAAGGCAAGTTCTTCCCTCTCAAAGACTCTACTCACATACACATTCAATACCTAAACCCCACTTGCTAATGCATACATTCATTTAGAGTTTAAGTAAGGCTACAATCTCCTATACGTATAACCATTTGAATAGAAAAATATGTAAAATTCAAAATTAGTGGCTGGGGATATGGTTCAGTGGTACAGTACTTGTCTAGCATGTTCAAGGCTCTAAATTTAATCCCCAGCTCTGCAAAAACCAAAAAAGTTCAAAATGAGACATGATTAATTTTAAATATGGTCAATCTTAAAATAGGAACTCATCACTATTGCTAATTAAAAATTTATACATTTGCCACACACTTCACTATATCTGTATATCTGATGTGCACAGCATCATTGTGAAAACTACCTTCTGCTATCCCAATGACTATTTTCCCTTTCAAATAGTTTACCTGCATTAAAAAAAAATATTTCCAAAATTACTATGTCCTAATAATCTACAACAAAAGAACTGTCCTAGTGAAAACTTGGATATATGTATGTAATTTAATGGTACAAGGGCAATTTTATAAATGTTAACTAAAAATACTAACTTATATCACCTCATGGCAGGAATAAAACAACCTAGTCAATTTAAAGAAACACATTTGTTCATTTTTTCATGTTTCTATTAATGAACTATGACCTACAATTAATGTCAAAAGTAACTTTCTAATTATTATATAGAGAAGATAAATTATGACAAACTGATGCTTGGCATTTTCTGATCATGAGTTAATTTCAAGTATGGTATCTGTTTAAGTTACCACCTCTTTACATGAACAAAGTATATTTTGTTGCATTTAAATTTAAGTCCCTAATTGCCTTAAAACTTAGATGGTTCTCTAGAATTCTTGCCCACAACTGCTTCCATTAGTTGAACTATATTTTCCCAAGAATCTGTTGCATTGGTGCAAAAATTAATTCTGTACTTGTATTTCTTTCTATAATTGTACAATATAATAAAATATTATCTAAATTAATAAAATATTAGTCTGAAAAATATTTTCCATAAGAGTTGTATACTTTGGAATGACACAATGAATACAAGCAGCAGCACAATGCTATCAAATCAGATATGCATTAATCAACTACAAGAGACTGAAATATGTAAGTACAGGATTCTGCATTTACATTACTTCACAGTTATTTTTAAGCAGTTGCTCCTTCCATCATTCAAAATGAAAAAAAAAAAATCACAGGTAAAACATTATGAGTGTGGTTTATAAACTAAAGAAAACTCCAACTGGAAAAAGTATCCTTGCTAAAAACATTGTGATTCTCTATTTTAACTTTTTGTTTTCTAACCGACTGCTAGTTTACTGCTTATTACTAAAACATAACAAGTTACAAATACAAATAATAAAATATATATCAATTAGATAAAACACTGAGCATGGATAAAAGATTTATGGTATACATTAATTATTTTTAAAAAATATATAAATTAATAAGATATAAAAGGCTACAGATAAACCAATGATAATAGTAGCACAAGCCAAGAATTATCATTAATCTAGTTCTGTGCACCAGATGCATTAAAAAAGAAAAAAAATTATAAGTCATATTTAAACATGTTAAATATAACTTATAAATATTGTTTTACAACTTACAAAAATATTTTACATATAGTCACTGGATCCTTGTCAAAATACAAAGATCATCAAAGGCAAAACTTCCTGACTTTCCTCTCAATTTTTCACTTAACATTTACAGAGCACAATATAAAGTGGACATTCCATACTTGCTGGAACAGTTAATATGAAACTTAAAGATTTGTTTCTTCTACACATACTTAGACGCCAGCTTTTTGCACTGATAGTCTGCAAGTAGGTAAATATCTCCCCTGGTAGTAACACAGACTGTGGCTCCATCACTTGCAGCAACCAAAGACAGAGTGATATCCTTATGATGAAGGGCAGAGACTTGACGAGGAACAGTTACATACTTTTCTCCATTGGGATCTAGTAAACATCCTAAAAAAATTATACAAATAAACAAATCATAAATTATCTGTTTTAAGCCCCCACTGATTTTTTAGTAATTGTCAAGAAATATTTCTTACCTAGTTGTCCACCATTTAGTCCCATGGTATAAACAGCTTCTCTAGTCCACAGCACTGTATGAAATCTGCCTGCTGCTACACCAATGATAGTCCTTCCCTTAAGATATTTTGCCTGCATCTGTTCAAAAAGACAAATAAGACTGCATTTTATATATATCTATGATCTACTACAATTTTTTCAAAGACCCAGTAGACCAGGTTAGCAAATATACATGGCATACTTGCTGCTATCACCCTCACAAGTGCTAATGGCAATTACTGCTAATAGATCTTAGCACTAGTACTGAGACCCAAACCTTTCCCAGAACACAAGATATTCTCATGCAGCACTTTCACTAAGCAGATTTAACACAAAAAAATTGACATGGTTTAAAAACCAAATCATTAAACTTTTGCCTATTTATTTTTTTCTAATAAGCAATATGCAAATAGGCATTAGCAAAAAGAATGGTACTTTTTAATTTGACATTTACAGAGTCATTTTCAACAGTAGCACTACTGACGTTTTGGGCCAGATGATTCCTTGTTAAGAGGAATCATCTAGTGTACTATAAGATGGTTAGAAGCACCCCCAGACTCCACTCACTAGTGTGTATAGTTTATGTACATACACTCCTTTTTTTTTTTGGTGGAGGGACCAGGGATTAAACTCTGGAGCACTCAAGTGGTCAACCAAGCCCCCTTTTTTTTTTTTAAGAGACAGGATCTCACTGAGTTGCGTAGGACCTTGCTTTTGCTGAGGCTGGCTTTGAACTCTCAATCCTCCTGCCTCAGTCTCCCCAGCTGCTGGGATTACAGGCGTGCACCACCACACCCAGCCACACTCTTGTTCTAATAACTAAAAGTCTCCAGACACTGCCAAACAGCCTCAGGAATCAAAACTGCTCCCAGTTGAGAATACTCCACATGTGTATCAACTCACAGCTCCAAGTCATATACAATAAGAAAAATGGGAGTAAAATTTATTTGCCATTCCTAGAGAAGTCTATGAAATGATTAAATATCCACAGATCCCAGTTAGAGAAAAATTGAAGACTACTCCCAAATATTTTGAAATAATTCTTATTAATTCACTAGTCATCCAGAATAGGAAGGTGTTGGATTCAAATACTTAATAAAACATGTATGCGTAGTAGGAATTTTAAATCAAGAAAATTGCTGAAGAATTTTAACATTAAAATGCAAAATTGTATGAGCTGAAAACACACTTGTTATAGGTGATGATTCTAATATTAATTTAAAGCACTAGTCCCAATTCTATATGCCAGGTTGTTAAAAGTGAGGAAAGGGCATCTTCTGGCAACGGTTGTACAGACAGAATTGGAAAAGTGGAACAAAATATGGTGGGTTATGGACCCACATTTCATAACATCAACTTACCAGTTGTGACATATGTGATCAGATTTAATATAGCTGGTAAATTAGGTTATTTAGTGCCTCGCTTGTACAGGCCCAAGTTGTACTGATAAATTTCCTCTTCTTTTCTTAAAGAAGACCTAAAAATTGTTTGAAGTTTCAAACCTAAAAAATCTAGGGATGACGGTGTAGCTCACTGAGCAGAGCACATGCCTAATATGTGAGAGGCTGGGTTCAATTCCCAATACTAACACACACACCAAAAAAAAAAAAAAAAAAAAACCTCACAAGGAACAAAAATGAACAAATAAGCCCAAAATCTAGTTCATCCTCTGCTTATGAATACTTAAAGGTTGAATCTATAGTTTGGTAGCTAATCTATCAAGTGCTTGATTTCCCTAGTGCTTTCTTTCTTGTTCCAAACAAATGCAGGTTTGCATAATGCTTAATTTCTTTTTGATGGGAGAATATACACACACACACACATGCACAAACATACACATACCAGCACTACTCAATTTCTCCTTAACAGGATACACATACAACACTGAAGATGAAGTTAAATAAGTAAAATTTAAAAAAAAAAAAAAAAGTTGCTCTGTCAATACATTACACCTTAATGTCTATGTAGGTTTTGTAGCAAAAAAGCAAATGTCACCTTATTGTTTAAAAAAGAGAAGTTTACCTGTCTGGGTACATTACAACTGGAAGGTGGAGGAACAATTCCTAATTGATGAAAAATATTTAGACCAAATGTATAAACACATCCATCTTCAGTTAATACAACAGTGTGATCATTAGCAGCTGCCACTTGGGAACAATTATGACCACTCAGTCCTTCCACAAGCCTGGGAACCTATAAAATAAATTTTATTATTTAAACCATTTATATGAAAATACAAAAGAATCTGATGATACTTTATCCAAAATGTTATAACTGACATGACTGTATCTAACATAAGTAAACTTTAAATTTCAGCAACGGGCAGATTAATTTAAAATTATATGGTCATTGGTTTATGAGCAAAATACATAAGCTGAACAAGAAATTTCAAAAAAATAATTCAATTCAATAAATTATTTCTAAGTTCTTACCAAATACAAAGTACAGATTTGTTTCGTATGAATAAAGGGAAGTAATCAATGGAATTATATAAAGAAAAAAAACAAAATAAAAGAATCAATGCTTCCCTTCAGTGAGTAACCAACCATACAGTATCATGCTCCTTCAGAGTTTTATCTGCACTGGGTTCAAATCTTCTGCAACTCACTAGCTATTTGATCTTAATCAAATTTTTAATCAGTTAGTTCCTAGTATACAATGTTTAACTTAAGTATTTAGATATAAAACAAAAGTATCAAAGGAAATATAGCAAATATCGAATCAGAAGAGTATCTAAATAAGCTTTATGATCATTACCAGGGTTGAACTATGAAGGCAGACTAATGTAAAACACTATCTGGAACAGAATAGGTTTTATTTATTTTATATTTCTAATGAAATACTGACAGTTGAAAAGTTTTCATTTTATAATCACAAAATTTTATTTTTTGCTACTGAAACTTGGTGCTAATTGGAAGAAACTTACTACCTATCAAAAAATTAGCTCACTCGGTTATTTTTAGGAATTTTTTTTAAGAGGACTATTAGTATATTTATTATCTATCAAAGGATGCTTTAAGAAGGAGAGAAAGATTAATGAAAACTTCTGTTTGGGAGGAGATAATTTATTGCTTCTAGTCATTATTATTTTTTCATCCATTAGTATTTCTTTTAAGTTTCACAATAGCTCCATGAATACAGGAATTGTTATCTTCATTTTATGTAAGATGATAATACTGATTTATTTAGAACTTATTATCAATTGGTATATTATTTTCCCAGTGTGGTTGGGGGGGGGGTGGAAATTGAGTTAACTGAAACTTCCAATTTGTCAAAGTTTTACTGAAGCTACCTGAACTGTATAATGACATTTCAATTACCAAGCAAGTCTGTTCATCTCCATGGCCTAAACGCCCTCCAGGACCATGACCACAGGTATAAACCTGCCCTTTCTGAGACAGAAACACTGAATGAAATTTACAAAACACCACCTAAGGAAAAACAAAAGAACATTATTGATCTCATATGAATACAATATCCTCTATTTTAGAAAACACATAGAATATTGCTATTGTTTAAGCTGGATGATGGATATGGGGGAGTCATACAATTCCACTTAAAATTTTCTATAATAAATAAAAAATATGCTTTACTTTAAATTATCTAAAAATGATGACACTGAAAAAAGAATATAAAAGACAATTCAGTTATGCATTATCTACAGAAGAAAAATGTTAACTTTTAAGTCTTCGATTACAAAACATAATGGCTCTTTGTTTTCTAATTTCATGAAATACCAAATAGCAAGAAATGAACAGAGTGCAACACAAAGCATAAAGATTAACAAATAATCATATACATTATTAATAAAAGTAGTAGAAATGTCTAAAGAGTATTTTTTAAATAACAATGGGCTAAGTACATCCTTTTCGTATTTCTAATATTATCTAATGTATCTTTAATATTATGTGGCTTAAAATAATTTATATTTACTTTTAAGTTTTTCTCTCTTTCCCACCTTCTTTTTCCTTATCTGCCTGATTCCCAATATCCTTCCTGTTCCTAAAACACACTTACTCATTCACATATTCCAGAAGTCAAGGACACTGAAATGACTGAACTATATCATCAGAAAGCAGTAATAGGAAACCAACAGCAAATGTGTGTATAATTCCATACCTAACTTCCAGGCTATATTTTTCTAATTCTATTTTTATTGTATTCATTCTACCTTAATATATTATTTTAAATATCTTTTATTATTCTTTTTAAAAATATTTGTATTTATACTTCTACAGATATTAAAAAAATGAGTAAGAAATAAAGAAAGTTCAACATAATTTTCCAGAAAGTCAAAGTCCTTTGGAAAATAAGAAAATTATAAGCTGAACTGTATTTTCATATCCTTAGGCCACTCACAAAGTTATATAAACATAACATTCCTGTCAATTAAAGGTGATACACAGGTCATTACCTCATCTAGCTGTACCACAAATATCTTTAAAAAAGAGTCTAAAGTACAAACTTGTATTTTTTTAAAGTTAAAATTTGTAGAGGAAAGATCATTTTGAGTCAAGAAATAAAATATTTTGTTTAAATTTATACTAGAAGGCCATTATACAACTTCTGACTTCTATTAAAACACCATTGATACCAGAAAATTTAAGTCCTCCAACTTTAAAACATCGTAATTTTTAAAGAAAATTACTAAGCATGGCTTTTCACTTTAATTTCTAAAATACAAATATATTATATATACATACATATACATATATAGTGTGTGTGTGTGTGTATATATATATATATATATACACACACACACACACATACACATACATATATAGTCCAGAGCTCAAGGTTCTGGATTGCATTAGGGCAGAAACTCCTGCTGTAACTGTAAACTGTAAAATCTGTAGTGTTCTACAGAGCCCTAAAGATATAATTCATATAATTTGTCATCCAAATATTTTTAAGAATGAAAGGTAATGATATTAACAAATTACACTAGGAAAACAATCAAAAACCAAATCTTTCCTAGGCAAATCAGGCAAATAACAGTCATAGCAGTTCGACTGGAGTAGAGGTACAGGTATGTAGTCCCAGGGTCTCAGGAGGCTGAGATAGGAGGATCACAAGTTTGAAGCCAGCTGCAAAAACTTAGCAAGCAACTTAGGAAGATCTTGTCTCAAAATAAAAAACAAAATTTAAAAAAGGGCTGGAATATGGCTTAGTGGTAAAGCAACTCTGGTTTCAATCCCTAGTACTAAAAAGAAAAAGTAGTTCCTCTCTCTCTCTCTCTCTTCACACACACACACACACAATTTTTTTTAGGGGATGGGGTACTAAGGATTGAACATGGGGTGCTTATCACTGAGCCACATCCCCAGCCCTTTATATTTTTTATTTTGAGACAGTGTCACTAAGTTGCTGAGAGCCTCACTAAATTATTGAGGCTAGCCTCAAATTTGTAATCCTTCTGCCTTAACTGGGATTATAGGCCTGTGCCATTGCACCCAGCTCAAAGTAGTTTTAAAAACAGAGTTCAATCTCAAACCATGAATTAAATATTTGTATGAGACATGAACATCAGGTAAAAGTTCCAATGTGTCAGTAACACATTAATAAAAAACAAGCTCCTAATTTGAGACAAATCATTTTAAGAATATCAAAATGCATAAAAAACAACTAGAAAGTACTGGGAATGAGCCAACATGATAGTTTAGGAAAATTAAACAAGGCTGCTGTCATATATAACAAATTAGAATTTTAAAAAAAAAGATTTTAAAAGGCCTTACATTCCAAGCCACAGAGTTTAGATTTTATTCAAAGATGAATTAACAGATAAAAACATAATTAGCTCTGTTTCTAAAAGATAATAATTCTAAAAAAGATATTAACAGAAGATGAAAATGAATGAGGTTAAAGAGTCAAGTCTGGACATTGTTGTCACTATCCAAGAATGAGCTTAGAAAAGGCCTGGCAGCTCGGTTCCTGTATTTAAAGAATTGGTCCTCAGCTAGGTGCTACTGGAAGGTAGCAGAAACCTTTAACAGCTAGGGCATAGTGGGAGGTTTTAGGTCACTGAGGGCATGTCTTCAAAGGGGGACTATAGGTCCTCTCTCTAGCTTTCTCTCTTTTCTCTTTGCTTCCCAGCCACTGTGAGGTAAGCTGCTTTCTCCACGACACAGTCCCCACCATGCTATGCTACCTCATCACAGGCCCAAACGCAACAGGGCCAAGTGGCCATGAACTGGAACCTCTACAATTATGAATCAAAATAATTTTTTTCTCTTTTTAAGTTGATCATCTCAAGTAGTTTGTTAAAATAACAAAGCTGACAAAACCAGTGCATAAGACAGAGATGAACTGTATAGATATGTTCTGAGATAAAATCTGTAGAATTTAAAAACTGAAATTTACACCATTAAAAATTAAGTAGAGGGGCTGGGGTTGTAGTGCAGTGATAGGTAGATTGCTTGCCTTGCATGCATGAGGCTCTGGGTTCAATCCTTAGCACCATATAAAAAAATAAAACAAAGATATTGTGTCCATCTACAGCTAAAAAATAAATATTAAAGCAAATTAAGTAGAGAAAGTTTTAAGAGTGGCCAAAATAAGATTTCAGACATTAAATTTAAACGCCTTAAATTGCTGCCCAAAGTACAATTAAAATGAAGCCCAAGAAAAAGGCTGAGGCTAAAGGTATAAATTATACATACACACACACAAATACATGTACAATGTTATAGAGAAAGAGAGTATGCTAACAGTAGCAGAATCTATGAAAGTAGAATGTATCATCCAGCAGAAGGACATAAGACCAAAAACAAAACTTTACAATTATATCAACTAAACTTGTACCATTACTCACATAGAAACTTATCTGTTATCAAAAATAACACTAAACGTCAACAAAGTCACTTAAAAAGTAACTTGAAAAATTCTAATTTTTGTTAAATGTGAACAAACACTAGAAAATTAACAGAAGTTCTACTCTCTTAAAATTAAACTCATTAGCAGCTTCTAATTTCTAACACTTCTTGCACAAACATCTCATACTTGGGAATCATTTTTCACAGTTTAAATAAGATTAATGCTAACAAAATTAAAAACATAATTAGTAAAGTTCCATGGATAGATTTCTTCATTAAATTGTTACTATACCTTCAATAAAATCAACAAACCCATAGGCAAACTATCAAATACAAAACAAGTTATTTTTAATCTCCAAAAGTATACAAATTGTATTTCAAAATACCTGCTTGATGTAAATGCCACTCCTAGAGAACAGATCCACCAACTCTGGATGATATTTGCTATTCTGGCTTCCATGACCCAGAGTAAAATTTGTATTATCACCCCAAGTGTAGACATCTGTAGGATCTAAAATGAAAATTAGTTTTTATACTTTTTATTTTAAAATACATACCAGTACAGTTTACAATATATACTAATCAACTTATCTAAAATATGAGTTCTGACAAGAATATAACAACGAATATTTTAAAATTATGAATCTTCTAATATATTATATAATTCTAGAAAACTGCAGAAATCAAAAAACCCAAATTGCAGTACAAATCTGTCTCAGTATAAGTAATCAAATGCCTTTTTCTTGTTTTCTTAGCAGCTGAAGTTTAAATGCAAATGAGCAAACCATCACCTATCATATCTACTTAGTTTCCATGAAAATAACATATTATTTTAAGTGCAAGATGTTATTAATCTTGCATATAAAGGCTCTAAATAAAGCAAATGTGATATTGACATATCTACTGAAACTTTAACTTTGAATAGTTTGCTCTTAATAGGGATAAGATTGCACTTGTGACTAGGGTAAGATCCCAGTGAAATGGGATAAAGCTTAATAGCTAAGTTTATGACACAAGTTTATGACATAAATCTTCACTTTCATTTTAGAAGCCTGATGAACTCCCAGAATGGAATTATAACTGTTACCTAAAATGTAGTTTCCAATGAAGAGTGCATCCTTACTTAGCTTAGATGAAAATTACAGAATATACCATTTAAATCTCTTCTCTTTTTTACTAATTCTTATTTCTAAATCCCACAGAGCATTAATTTTACCTCTCCTCAAGTTGATATTGTTTTCCAGGTGTACATTAATTACTTTATAATAGCTACAATTCTAAATGCCTTAACATTTTAGGTTGCATTTTTATTCTCATAGGCATAAGTATAAATTAAAATTGAAAACTCACAATAAAACAAAGTGTTCTGAAATTAAAACAAAAAATATAATATATAAAATCTAACATACCTAAGCAATAGTTCTTTGCAGATATCCACACACAAATAAATCTTTCCCATTATGATAATAGGAAATGTTCTAAGCTGTACCTTTTTTTTTTTTTTTTTTTTTTTTTTTTTTTTAATTTTTTTTATTGGTTGTTCAAAACATTATAAAGCTCTTCACATATCATATTTCATACATTAGATTCAAGTTGGTTATGAACCTTAATGGAATATATTTACATAATTTTCTTACCAGTATTCTTGAATACTACATGAGTTGGTCTATCCTTCATTAGAAGATCCAAAGCTGACAAGCCTTCTTTATCTTGAATATACAGACTAACACCATGCTATAAAAAGAAACACACATTTTATCTGTTTGCTTATAATTGATAATTTTCTATTCTAAAGAATCAAAAAGATAATCAATCTCATTAATACAATGAAAAAATAAAATTAAACATTTAGTAATAATCTCATATTCATACACATTTCTCACACAGAAGAGAACTGAGAAAAATCACCAATTTTTCTTCACCAGAAAATGTGAAGAAATAAAATAAGTAACACTTTAATTAAGATGAACTAGATATGACAGTTTTATAAGGTAAATGCTAGAATTTGGATCTGTAATGTTCACTAAAGGCCCAAAGGCATGGTCCTCATCCTGTGGCATTACTGGGAGGTGTTGGATCCTGTAACTGGAGACTGGTGGGAAGCCTTGGGTCATTGGGGGCATGACCTCAAAGGGGATTATAGGATATTGGTTTCTTCCTCTTGTGCTTTCTGATAACTATGAGGTGAGCAGTCTGCTCTACCACATGCTCCCTGCCAATTATATACCGTGCTACCTCAGGATCCATCACATTCTCCCTGCCATTATATATTGTGCTATATCAGTCATGGTATAAAATCTCCAAAAATGTGAGTCAAACAAACTTTCCTCTTTGTAAATTGAGTTATATCAGATATTTTGTAATTGTAATAGAAAAGACTAACAGTAAGGCAGGTCTGATTGCCTAGAAGGCCCGCCCTCCTGCTGTGACTGTATCTGTATGAGTATACATGTTTACACAAACATGTAAAAGTGTAAAAGAGTCATATTCCATTTCTTTTACAGGTAAGGGCTGCAAAGATTCCAAGGCTGTAGCAGCACAATACTTACCTTTGAATTTAGTGTTTATAATGTGATCATCCATGTCCCATTTCTTTTTGCCTGGAACTCAATTATAACTATTACTGACATAAGAGACTATATCCTTCTATATCCATTTGTACAATATTTTGTCTCTTAAATTTTTAGAGCATTAATTACAGTCTTTTGTAAATCACATATAGATAACAAATTTTATATATATTCAAAATGTGTGTATGTTTTTTTAAGGAGAAATAAAGTGATCTATAATTCTTATCTCCACATTTCCAATGTGAAACAGAACACTTTGTGTATCACTTAACAGCACACCCAAGCCCAGTCAGCACCTTTTAATTGGGGTGGGAAACAAGACAGAGAGCAATTAAATTCAGATTATTGTCACTTCATTTCAATGTTTTAAATAGAAAATGTACTCCTTGCCAAGAATAACTTATTTGCTGACAGTTTTATAGGATTTTCAACAATATTCAGACTTATCTATTTTACATGGTACATGTCACCACTGCCTGTTTACACAGTTTATCTGGATAGTCATAAGCTAAAATGAACCATGCAGAAGTGATTGTCTAATATCTTAATAAATTTAAAATTGTGCATTGCCCACAATTGTTAAAAAAAGATAAGTTCTTGTGAGAAAACTTAAGGTTGACCTTCATAAGGTTAAGAAGGGTAGATTCTGAGGCAAAGTGTTGCAAATTATGACTCTGACAAGTGAGAAGTTAATAACTTAGATCCCTGGAAGGTTTTATTTATTTATTTTTTTTGGCCAGTTTTATAAACTTGCCCTGAATTTTACATATACCAACTGAACCCTATTAAAACTAAAGACAGATGCAACATCCTAAGCAGCCCCAACTGCACAAAGGACTAGAGACTTTTGTTTTTAACTCCTTAGTGAACGCTGATACTTTCTAAAATGTTTATTTTAAACTCTAAAGGTAGAAGAACCTAGGTGCAGTCTTTTCCACTTAAAAATCAATTTTTTTATATATGACCAAAATGGTGGCCAATTAATTTACTAAGTAACATCTGAGTCTATAATAGCGTTATAAGCCTGAGCATTTCATGACAATACTCTACAAGCAGCACATGGACTTTAAACACAACTATTTTACTATAAAACACTGGTAACACTACTATAGGCGATTGTCAGGAAATAACATAAAACTGTTTGTTTCAACTGTATTACCCCAAAGCAGAACATACGATAAAGACTCGCACGACCTGAATGAGAAGTTCTAGAAAGCAGTACTGATGAACCAGTGAGAAAAATTCAAGAAAGGAGAAAAGATCAGTACTAGAATGTGTTATCAAGTTGCTACTAAGGAGATCTCTGTCAGGATGTTTGGAAGTCTTAGACAATATGTCAAAATAATCAGTTGTCCAATCAAGGGATAAAAGAAGGGAATATTTACCACTGGCTCCATTGTCCATTACCCAATAATTGCTCTACAAAAACTTATAACTCTCATATTTTCTGTTAGTCATATATGTGTGCCAAACTCTGGGACATAAAATAAGAGGTATTCAGTAGTATCAGAAACAAGATGAAGATTATACCCACCCAAAGCTGCTAGAAACCTATTCAAAACTGGTCACTAAAGCTGTGGTGGAATTAAGGCCAATAATGACATGAAGTAGTTCCTCAAGAGTATCTAATGCACTGATCTTTTTAACTGATTACAAGCCAAGTTGAATGAGTTTAATATAGCTCTCTGGCTATGCCTGCCCATATACTGCCAAGAAAGTCAAAACCGAAAGAAATATTCTGAGAATATGTAATTTCTATATGGTAAAACGGGGATGTATTCTCCTCTGCTTCTTTCAAAGCTAATCTTCAATACTTTGATAGTACTTTTGGAAAACTGGCTAGATGCCCTCCTACTACAGAAACAGAAGAGTAAGCAGTCTCTGATATTCCAATGACATGGCTTTAATATCACAAACTAGGAACAGGTTCTGCTGTTTAATTATACCTGGAGGTGGAGAAGACAAAATTTCAGATTAATTACTCTAATTAGTTTATAGTTATTCTATTTTAGTTTGAGAAGTCTTGATTTATTTATAATTTAACAGTTAATTGGGTGTTTTGGTTCATGACCTGAACCTCTATTCTGAGAAGTATCCTATGTCCTTCTAGTATCCTTTTAAATCTTTTTGCTTATGTTACCAGAGTTAGCTCCCATTGCATGCAAAAAAGAACTCTAATATACCAGCATTTATTATACTTTCTTATTTGTTCATTTAATTGCTTGATTGTGGTCTATTCCTCCTATTACTAAGAAAACTCCAAGAAAGGACTCTGGCTAATTTACTGTAATATCCCAAGTGCCTAGATTATTGTCTAGAATGTTATCAGATACTCAAAATAATTTGCTCCATATATTTTCATATTGTAAAGCATTTGTTTCCATAAAACCTTGCAATTCTAATGACTCCAATTTACCAATGGGGAAAAATTCATAGCAAGTTCTTTCAGAATAGTAAGAAAAACACCAAGGCTTGGGGTGGGGGTGGGGGAAAACAATGGTAAATGACAACAGACAACAAATAAAGCAGAACACTGTAAGCATTAAGTCTTTGCCAGCATGCATCTCATAATAGAATGAGGGATCCAAAGAAAATTCTGCATAAGATATGCTATCCCTACCGTAATTTTTTATACGCAACAAGTTTCTGATAAGGCTTTGTATCTTTGGCAATCAGGAACTTACAGTATGGGTCTATATTTATACAATTTATTTTGGCACTTAACTTAAAAATTTTGTAGCTATGAAGTTTTATCAAATGCAAATTCACTTGAAATGCCTATGTGTGTATAATTTCTTCCTGCCAATTCACAACAGCTGAAGTGCTATATAGTTGGCATCAGAAGTGGAACAGACATGAAGGCCCCTTCGATGAAGCACTATCACTTGCAATTACAGGAGTGATGCAAGGCCAAAAGAAAGAAAGATGTGCTGAAAAAAAAAAAAAATGCAGATAGCTTCCAATATGAGAATACTAAATGGCTTAAAGGAGCTTTTGTGAAAATGTTTTATCAGTGGAATTCACCCACAGCTGGATATTTATCACAGCTTGGTAAGGCTTTAATGACAATATAAGAGAGTAAAACTAAGGGCAAGCAGGGAAGGCACAATTTTTTGGCCAGTCCACAACCATTTCAAACTAAAGCTTCAAATCCTGACACATGAATGGCAAACCCTTGGATAATAGAAAATCCAAGGAAAGCTATCCAATATTCCAGCAAAGAACAGAAAAAAAGTCAAAGTTTTACAGGTAAGAAAAAGAGCAAAGCTGATTGATGCTTTTTAACTCTTACTAAAAAGAGATTATAATAATAATCCCTGTAAAAAGAGATTATAATAAGATAATTAAGTCAATAGTCAAAGATTTTAGATATAAGAGGAATTTACTATATTATCAATAAACTTAAGAATTAAGTTTTTCTTTACTGATGCTCCCTAGGGAAAAAACAAGGAAGGAATTATTACTATTTACTATTACTTATTCTCTTTTTTATAGATAAAACTGAGGTCCAAGGTTCAGGAAATTAGCTAATGAGATTCAGTTAAGTAGTAGGCCTAGCCAATTTAGCTCCAAAGAAGGAATACTTTACTATTAATATATATTAAAAACATTTTGACCAGAAAATATTACCACATAAAAGCTACCATGTAAATAATTTTTAACACTCAAAATGAGATGAAGAGACTAAAGCTTCCTAATCTGACTACAAGTTGCTTAAGGACAGGAGCTATTCTTTTCTAGGGCCTGTGAAAACATGACAAAATGTCTACATAAAACAAAATTGTTAAATTTATAATTCATGACTTCTAATTGTGAGTCTTGGCCAGGGAAATAACATTGGGGTGTGCCTCAAAATACTTCATTATTTGGCAATTTACACAACAAACCTAGACTTCATCTAAAAAACTGGGAAATTTCATAAAATTAAAATGATTTTAACTATCCATATTTTTAAGAAATATAAACATTTTATCTCAGTTAAACAAGAAATGAACATATTACTCAAAAACACAGTCCCTAAGTGATGTTCACAACCAATGCCCTTTGAAAGTAGTTAATAACTTAATTACTTAAGAGTAAACCATATTTTTTTAGATAGAAGATATCATTAAAAATAATTTACTTGGGATGCCATTGGACTGGGGTAGCTCTAATATAAGTTCCGATGTAAGCAAGTCAAAGTCAATAAAAACAGTAAAATGAAACTAGATACATTACCAATCAGAAACTACCAACTAACTTCTAATCAGAGTCTTTCCATTATGACCAATTAAATGTAGTTTCCCTATCTTCTGCATTAGCCTATAAAACTCACTGGCAATGCTACTGCATCATAGCACTCTAGATTTCTCTAGTTCTAAGTGCTGTCTGATTCATGATTCTTTTTTTTTGCTCAAATAAACACTATTAAATTTGTTTTTTTCTATAGTTTTTCTTTTAACAACAAGAGTACTGACTAAATCACAAAGTGGGAGTTACTTCAAAACAATACTTGATATACACAAATTGGCCAATAATTCCTTATATCTCATAAATTTTGATGTTTAAAATTTTATGTAAAATAATCCATAAAATTTTAATATCTGTAAGAAGTGTAAATTTTTTAAAAAGATATATGGGATTTTAATTTCAGAGAGGAACTGTATCAGAGATAAACAAGTGGTAAAAACAAATGAAAAATATTTCTTAGAAAGTGGGATGTATGAAAAAACATATACCTTGACTAATAATGGTTTTAAATAAACAAATGACACTTACCTTCAAGAGAGACCAAACACAATCAATATGTCCATAAAAAATGCTTCTGTGCAATGCTGTCCAGCCAGACTCTTTGTCTTTTACCAGTGGATCCACTCCTTTCTCAATAAGCCAATCTAATACTCCTTTCTTTCCACAGGAAGAAACAAGGTGGAGAGCATTCCTGCCAAAGGCATCTTTGATAGTTGTAGCATTGTAACAATGACTGGAGAGAAAAGCCTTAATCTGCTTTTCACTCCCCTTTGTTACAACAGAAAGGACATCCAAAGCATGCTTCAGAGACTGACATTTTGACGTGCAGTCAGGAATGGGAGAATTCATCCTAATTGTTTTTACACTGCTTACTTGTTCAGAATAGTCACTGAAGACTAATTATTAAAAATGAAAAAGCCAGGACACGAAGATGATTTCCAAGAAGAAAGAAAATAAATGACCCCTTTAGGATTATAGTTTAAATTCTCGTGGCAACAGTATAAAACTATATGTATCTCTGTATAATCTTTTTGGCACTTAAATCAGAAAAAGTTATAAATAACTATAAAGTTCATATCAAATACAAGTTCTTCATTTAAAAAAAATTCCACAGTTTATAAATTATTCCTAGAGTCAAGCACCAAGGGGGAGTGAGGAGGGGAACTCCCCCTCCACACTGTCTGATCCTTTTAAATATCCATAATTGCGAGGGTGACCTGTAAGAGAAGGAAAAAGGAAAGGTAAAAATACAAAATCTCTTGATCATTCTCTTGAAGTACTTTACAACTACCTCCACATTTAAATTCCCTTAATTTGTATTTTTAAAAAAGACTTTTCATATCTGTATACTTACCTCCTTTTTTTCCACTCTCATAGTTAAGGTTAGCCTCTATGTCTGTACCTGGAGTTGACCTCGCCTTCAAGAACCTTAATTCTTTCTCTCCAATATTTTTATGTTCTTACAAGTTATGTTCCCCCAGAATCTATAAACACATTTAAATCTACCATCTTTATGGTAATCTCCTCCAAAACCTTTACCTCCAAAAGCTGCATCATTATCATCATCACCACATCACAACAACAACCAATACTATCAGTTATTCAGTTTTTACTAAGTGGCAGGCATTATGCACATTGATAACATTATTTTCTCTTCCTGAAAGGTCCTACACTACAGAAGATAAATAAGAGTATTAGGACAATGAGATAGCTATCTGGGAAAAAAATATTTAAGACACTTTTTACCTTATGCCAATATAAATTCTAGATGCCATAAAGAGAAAAAAAAAATGAAATCATAAAATCATAAAAGCATGAAAACATGAGACTGTTTTTTTATAACTGCAAAGTACAAAGGCCTAAGTATGATATGAAGTCCAAAGTCATAAAACAAAAATGAATAAATTCAATAGTTTAAAAACTACATAAAAAAGTTCAAAGACAACTAGGAGAAAATCCTTAATATATAGTCTTTGGGAGCAGGAAAAAAGAGATATAAGACTACTCAGAGATACACACATGAATTTATATATGTAAAGGGGAAATTTCTATGCATCAGATACAAATATGAAACATTCCAAATCTATGTTTTCCACTCTCACTTCAAATCACATGAAGAGTCAGAAGTCTGAGATTTAACTAGTGTTCTGTTCTTAACTATTCTGATTCCTCATCTGGAAATGAAAGTACTGAACTCTAATTCCAGGTCTTTTTCTATGTTTTTAAACTCAATATAGTCCTTATAAAAATTATCCCCCCTTAAATGTTGATTGGACCAAAAATGACACAAAGAAAAAGGAACCAAAGCCTCAAGTAGTTTAGAATGTTGAAACAGAAAAGAATGACATATGGCAAAAGTCATATGTAGTTAATTTCACTCTTTTGAGGCTCTAAAACTCCACCATCTTTATACTTTCAGTGTACACATAATACCTGAAAGGATATATTGATTGGTGAATCCCTCAAACCCCAAAGGAAAGAATTAGGATAGAACAGAAGAGAGTTCTCTCATTTGTTACTTTATATACTTTCAACATTTAAAAAGGGAAAAAAGGAATATTAAAATAATCATACCACGCTGTCATATCTATATATCCTTATGTAGAGAGAAGTATATAGACAATACTATGAATATAAAAACAAAAATAATCAGAGGTTAGGGTGTCCTAGAGTCTTACATATTTGAATTTAAATATAAGAAAGTGGGCTGTTACTAGTTATGTAACACTAAAAATTACATAATCTCTCCCAATTCTTTATTCTTCATCTGAAAAATAAGTAAACTGCCTATCATAATGCCTGGCACTAAACATGTCTTCAACAAATGGTGACTTTCACTATTATAAATACTTCAGTAACAAAAAGGTAAAAATTCATGTTTGAGTTTCAAAATCACTGCTACCTGCAAAATTCCCCAATGAAATCATACTTCATAAAAAGTTACTAATAGCCTCCAAATAGTCAAATACTTTTAGATAGTTTCAGTTTTCATCTTATTTGCTTTCTCTGCTTTTAAGTCTTTTTTAAATTTTATTTATTTATTTTTATTAGTTACACATGACAGTACAATGATCTTGACATCTCATACATTTGAATCAAATAGGGTATAATTTCTTATTTTTCTGAGTGTACAGGTTGCAGAATCTCATTGGTCATTCTCTTCAGGAGTCTAGAAAGGGATCCTAAAAGGGGAGGAAGTGAGCCAAACAAATAAGCATGGAATCTCTCCCACCCACTTCTTCCTAGGATACTGTCCTCTACCCTGACCTTCAAAACCTCAGCTTCTCTCAATGTTTAATCCTTAGTTCTCTTTTTAATTCTACCCAGCATGCTTCTAATCCCTGAATTTCTCCTGCTCACACATTTCTCCTAATACCTGTTGTAAATCTTATCTATGTGTTATTAAAAAATGCTTTTTGAAGAATAAGGAAGAGAAAAATACTTATTAAATACCTAATATATGCTAGAAATTATGTATAGAGATGTTGAATAAGTAACCCAAATCATACTATCAATAATTAGGGAGTTGGAATTCAATGCATATCTGTTTAATGACAAATCCATGCTATTTCTGTTACAATCCACTACTTTCTCCAGTGTATCCACAGGTAACATTAGAAATACAAAAATAAACAAGGCATAAATATTTTATATAAAAAAACGTTTCAGGGATAATATTTAGATGAGTATATAGCTATTTTACTATTGAGTGAACAAAATTCATTATCTATTACACAATTCCTACCATCAATGGGTCATAGTTTGATAGAGGAGGCCCTTTCTATTTAAACAAGTAAAAAACATATATTATAAACCTGTGGTCAAATAAAATAAGTGACATATGAATGAAGAGTGGAGAAGAGGAATACAGGAAAGATTTCCTATAGGTATATAAATAAGTCTTAAAAGATGAGTATGTGTTTGCCTGATAAACTTTAGGAGGGATTATTTCTCAAAGCAGAATGGTACACATAAAAGACTAGAATCATCTTAGTCCATTCTAAAAATTCCAAATAATTCAAAAGTCAGAAAAGACTGAGTCCTAATATATACAAGGATGGGTCAGATTTTGAACAGCTTCATTCATGTGTTTTTCCATGGGGATAAAGAAAGCAGGCAATTCAAAGATATAAATAGAATCTTGAGTTGACAAGGTGTGGTGATAACACCCAGGTTTCTGGCTTGGATGATAGGCCAACTAAGAGGAGGAGTTACAGGCAAATACTTTGGAAATCAGAAAAATAAAACAAACCTAAGCAAAGAACAAATAACATTAAAGGTGAAAATTTATTATCACATGATCAAGTGTTGAAGGAAAATTGAGTTAGGAGGCAATTGTTGAACCTTGAATACTGGTCTACCACAAAGGTTTTAGCCAGTTGAAAGTGAGCCCTGAACAATGGCTCACAAAGTTTCTTATCCTTGTTTAACAGCTCAGTTAACTTCCTAAAACATTAGTCAGATCATGCTATTGAAATGAACCAATACTCATATCTCATGTGTTAAAAATAGCCTCAGGACCTCAAGAAATTTCAGTTAGATCTGGGGATCATACAGCATATCAAATTCAGAATACCTAAGCTAGCAACTAGGTTCAACGCTAACTAGATAAGAAACCATGGGCACATAACTTAATTTCTTGAAACTTCAGTTCATTTGTAAGGAGAAAACAACTATTTAACTTCTAACTTGGTTTTAAAAATTAAATGTGACAAATCACGCATCTGGTAAGCAAGATGACAAAATGCCGTAACTATATGAAAGTTCTTTTTGATTGGAATGCTTTTCACCCAAATCTTTATAAGGTTAACACTTCCTCATGGCTTACAAACATAATACTTCGAGCTTTCATATGAACACATTCACAGCTTTATTTATATTAAATGATCCTCATTTCAGCCTCATCATTGCCCCTATAAATATGACTACCTTCATCTTACAAGGAGGAAATAAGTAGCCTATCCAAAAATCACACCGAAAGAAAATGAACACTCTACATACTGCCTATTTCACCCTATCAAGCTGCTCTATCAAAATGCAGTGAAAGAGAATTCTTCAATAAAAAGTAGTATAGTGCAGTACGAAAAAACTATCCCAATTTTGGGTTATGTATGTATTGGGTTGCTACATGCGAAACCCTGGGCAAGTATGTTAAGCTCCCTAACCCTCAATTTCTTCATTTGTGAAATGATAATAATAAACTGTCTGCTAAGTGTAGAAATTATGTATCAGAGATGTTGAATAAGTAACTAAAATCATACTAACAAGGGAGTTGGAATTCAAATGCATATCTGTTTAATGACAAATCCATATGTACATAAAGATTTTAAGCTTATCTTAAGGGAAAGGAGGGGAGAAATGCTATACTTATTTCTCACAAAATACGTTCAATAAGCAGGCTTACTGGTTTAAAGTGCTCTTTAAAACCAAAATATTCTCCCAATAAATTTGTATACATACAAATAAATGTTATAAGCTGCAGATTACTGACTCATAATCAAAGAATTTAAAACATTTTCTGTTGACCCTAAAATTAGCTTTTAAAATACAGACACAATTTAGCAAATTAGTAATTTAGGTTTTTAATATTTTATTTTATTCTACAGTTTTCTCAAATATTCTCTGGGTACAAGATCTAGAAACTTCAGTTCAATACTTCATCAGTGCATTATCTAGTTTTGCAATACAGAAATCGCCCAAATATTAGGGGGCAAGCACATCTCTAAATGTGGCAAAGAATTATTCCCCTCTTGATGATGGCAAATTAGTTTTGTATCATTTATAATAGTTAATCAAGTAAACTGAGTCTCTTTAAAGATACATTCACATGTAGAGTGCTGAATTTATAGTCCAGAAGCATTTTAAGTTAAAAATGTAGTAAGTGCCTTACACAGAACTTAGCATACTGAAAGTCTCTAATATTTGTCAATTTTTTAATAGAACACAGCCATTTTTCATCTTTTTTTGAACTATAGGGTGACTAAAGTTTTTCGAATATCTGTTTTGTGATTTTTTTTTTTATTTTTAGAAAACATTCTTTCTGTCCTCACCTACCTTACTCCAGATTCTAAAACAAAAATCAAGGAATCCAAAATAGTAAAAAAGGGAAATGATAAAAAAAAAAAGCCAATGCTTGCACAATATAAGCAGAGAAACACTACCCACTCATAAAAGTAACATCCTTTCATTACTTCTGATGAATTTTCAATTTCAAATGCCCCACTTCGAAGCATACGAAAGAAGGTGCTACTCAACCTCGGCTTCCTGAAAAACATAGCGTCGGGATAACATAACTTAAGTTCTAGAACTATGTTGGAAAACAAGCGACAAGGATGGCCTGTGACGGGCGTTCTCTATTTTGTATCAGAACAACAACGCTTCTGGAACCTGAAAGCTAATAAGAGCACTGTCTTCCGCACTTCTCAAACAAGCCACTGTTCCTTTCTTAACATAGTTGTCAATTCCCACCTAACTTCACGACCTGCTCTCCGACAGTCCCCAGAGTGGACTCAAACTTTGGAACTCCACGAAGGGGGTAAAGGGGCCAAGGGCGCCACCAGGAATGGTTTCCAATCCCGGGTTTAAAGAGAAGTGACACTGGGAATGCAACAATGTTGGAGGGCGTGTCAGGCAGAAATGCAACGTAGCAAGTGGCCTGAACAGGCCATTCATTAGCTGAGGGGGGCGGTGGAGAGGCGACGGCAGAGGGCCACTGGGTCGGCCCGCGCTAGCTCACAAGAACCTCAGCGGCCTCTGGGGCGCGGAGTCCCCTCCCCGTGGTCGACTCGCGCCACCAGCGTCCGCGGTCACCCGCACCCTCTGAAAGGCGAGAGCTCTCCCACGGCCGGGTGACTGGCGGGACGCCGTCACCTCAGCCCGCTGAACAGCGTCTGGCCGCGCGGAGCCCTCCCTCACCAGTCGCTAGATGAAACTGCGCCGGTGGTCTCCGCGGGGTGGACGCACAGCAACACAGGAACTCATCCTCAGTGAAGGCAGTAGGAGAAACTGAACGGCGCCAGGAGGTGCCGGTCCCCAGACCCCGGTCGGCTCTGGAGGCGGCTGCAGCTACAGCCGCGACTACCGGCACCGGGAGGAGGGCTGGGAGAAGGGCCGGAGCGGGCGGGACCCGGGAACAAGATGGGTGTTGATTGGCTGGGGCTCATGTATGCCTTACGGCCATTGGCTGGTGCCTGTCCAGAAGGCCTAGCGTGGCAGCACCCAACTGTGGCCTTTCCCTGGCATCCCGGAGTTGCTTGACCCTGCCGGCCTTGGGGCTGCGGGCTGGCAGAGAGTGGCGAAAGTCCGTCGGGGTGGATTCTAGGCCAGTAGCGTTGAGGAAGTGTTCCTCTCGAGGTCAGCTGTTGCTCATATAGAAACGTCGCTTTCCGGGCAGCTCAATAGGGAAGATAAACCCGGGGTAGCGAGGATACGGGGAGACCTGGCCGCGTGCCTTGGGCATCTGATCGCACGCACAGTGGAGTTTCCTCGAGTAACATTAGCAGTGTGGGTCACTGGAAAACCAAAGGCGTCGTCTCCCGAAGACAGCCTAACCACGCTGACCCTCTGGTACACCCGGATGATCCCAGAGTCAGAAGGTGTCACTCCCTTCATAGATCGCCACTAGCACGACCAACTGCTGACTTGGGTCATGCCACCCTGTGCCTAACGCCAGGCTTACAGGAAATTTTTCCCCCATATAACTCTGAATCTAAGGGCCGTTTTTAAAGTTGCTTAGTGAAAAGTATTAGGAAAGACAGCCAATAATCAATATCGAATGGGAAAAATACTTATGCCCAGTGCCTAATACAGTAGGCACTCAATAAACATTTGTTCAAGGAGGGGTAGTATGACTCAAAACAAACAATAGGAGTCAGCAGTTGGCTGAACCTCTGCCACGTTGTGTATTGTACAAGCCTCTTAATCTCATCTATTAAAAGCAGTTGGACTAGATGTCTTCTTACTTCCTACTTTGTAACCTTTGTGGGAGGCCAAGTTACTAGCCCAAACCTACACAAGCTAGTTAGTGAAGAAGGAAGGGAGACTAATTGGGATCCAGCTCTCCTGCTTCTCCCAGTACAAAGTCTGTCGTTTCTTTGCTCCCCTACTTACTACTTTGGCATATAACAAAAACCAATTTGTAATGTAAAAACAGTGATTTTGAAAGTAAGCTGTATATGGTGACTTCATACTCATGAATAAAGATGCCAGTAGTGGCGAACAAAGCTAAAAATATAAATAAAAGCACTGACCTGAGTTCAAAACGTTTATCTGTCTCTTACTTGTGTCTGAGCAAGTTAATTGATTTCTGAAATCTCAATTTCCTCATTTGCAGAGTGAGAACATTGATGCATTTTGAGATAGTAAAAATGCAATTATAGAAACATATAGCACTTAGCAGAGTGCCTAGCACACAATAAGACTTCCTAAACATTGCTACTTTTATAAATATTTTCTTAGCAGCTGAATGACTCCAAGCATCCTTCACTTAAAAATTGCCAAGTTTCAGACACTTATAAGCACTGAGGATCCAATAATGAGCAAATAGACTCAGATAATCCTAAACATAAAAATAAATTGCAACTTTTACAAGTATGCCAAAGAATATACCATGATAGATTTTATCTGACGTTCTAAAGAAATCTCACATGAATTAACATCAGAAGAATGATCAGGAGATAACTAGGTAAATGAGGAAATAAAGAACATCTGAGGCCAAAAAATGTGGAATTGCTCCTATTTTCCCTGTAAAATAAGGTGCTTTTTCAATACCTTTCAAAGGTATTGTTATTTGCAGTGCAGAATATTGAAATAATAAGGAAACTACAAATACAGCTGAATAAAAAATGTGGTTGTGGTTAGGAGAGAAAAAATAAAAAATTGGTCATTTTGTTTGTTTTTTTAAAATGTGTTTACACATAAGGGATTGAATGGATTAAAATATATAACCACAACCATGATTAATTCTGTGCAGTGTAAAAATGGGTAATTTTTAATTTCTGTCATTTTCTGTTTTGTAATTTTCACTGCAATAATTGTTACTTAGGTGATTGAAAAGTCAAAGTTTGGAAAAATAATTGACTAGAATTTATAGATTAGACTTAACAGAAGAAATAAAATTAGAGATGGCTTTGGAAGATTGTGGTGATTGAGAGAAGACAATTAGAAGAATAATCTAGGCATGGGGAGTGGAACAGAAAATTAAATCACACAGCATCTGCAATAAATTCCATAGATGCCATATTTTTTCAAACACTATCCTTCATAATAAAAAATGCTACTTCCTCATTATATGATTGGGCTGTCTTTCAAGTTGCACGGGGTAAGGAATTACACAGCTGCCCCTATAGCTAGAAACTCAAATCTGATTACGTTCTACAAGAACAGGGGGTCAGCAGTATAATTGACCTCTTAGAAATGCCTGAGAGCTTATTGTTTAATTTCTTCTCCAGATGGTCTTTCACAAGAGAATCCTTGCTGGCTATGACTTCCTGATGGACATCTTAGCTTTGGCCGTTAGAGAAGGTAGCACTGAAGCATCTGCCTCAAGCACAAAAATTCCAAAAGCCTAATGTATTCCTATTGGCTTGGATTAAATGAAGAGTCAAGTATAACATGATTAACAATCTCTGTTGAATTCATATGAATGAAACAGAATAAGGAGTAATTCCCCCAAAGAAGGCAGGGTTTGGCAGGCACACAAAGATAGTCTTAACAATAGTCAATTATTTTCTATTTTTTGTTAAACATTTTTTATTCTAATTTGTTATATATGACAGCAGAATGCATTACAATTCACATTACACATATAGAGCACAATTTTTCATACCTCTGGTTATATATAAAGTATATTCACACAATTCATGTTTTCATACATGTACTTAGAATAATGATATCCATCTCATTCCACCATCTTTTTTACCCCCATTCCCCCTACCTTCCCCTTCCACCCCTTTGCCCTATCTAGAGTTCATCTAATCCTCCCAGCTCACCCTCCCAACCCCACTATGAATCAGCCTCCTTATATCAGAGAAAACATTCAGCACTTGGTTTTGGGGGATTGGCTAACTTTACTTAGCATTATATTCTCTGACTCCATCCATTTACCTGCAAATGCCATGATTTTATTCTTTTTTATTGCTGAGTAATATTCCATTGTGTATATATACCACATTTTCTTTAGCCATTCATCTACTGAAGGGCATCTAGGTTGGTTCCACAATTTAGCTATTGTGAATTGTGCTGCTACAGACATTGATGTGGCTATGTACCTGTAGTATACTGTTTTTAAGTCCTTTGGGTATAGACCAAGGAGTGGGAAGCTGGGTCAAATGGTGGTTCCATTCCCAGCTTTCCAAGGAATCCACTATACTGTTTTCCATAACGGATGCACCAATTTGCAGTCCCACCAGCAATGTATGAGTATGCCTTTTCCCCCACATAGTTGCCAACACTTATTGTTGTTTGTCTTCATAATAGCTGCCATTCTGACTGGAAGAGATGAAATCTTAGAGTAGTTTTGATTTGCATTTCTAATTGCTAGAGATGTTGAACATTTTTTATATACTTGTTGATTGATTGTATTTCATCTTCTGAGAAGTGTCTGTTCAGTTTCTTGGCCCATTAACTCATTGGGCTATTTGTTTTTTGGTATTTAGCTTTTTGAGTTCTTTATATGCCATAGAGATTAGTGCTCTATCTGATGTGCGAATGGTAAAAATTTACTCCCAAGATGTAGGCTCTCTATTCACCTCGCTGATTGTTTCTTTTGCTGAGAAGTTTTTAGTTTGAATCCATCCATTTACTGATCCTTGATTTTAATTCTTGTGTTATAGGCGTCTTATTAAGGAAATAGGGGCCTAATCCAACAGGATGCAGATTTGGGCCTATTTTTTCTTCTAATAGGTGCAGTGTCTCTGGTTTAATTCCTAGGTTCTTGATCCACTTTGAGTTGAGTTTTGTGCGTGGTGAGAGATAGGGGTTTAATTTCATTTTGTTGCATATGGATTTCCAGTTTTCTCAGCACCACTTGTTGAAGAGGCTGTCTTTTCTCCAATGTATGTTTTTGGCACCTTTGTCTAATATAACTGTAATTATGTGGGTTAGTTTCTGTGTAATTATGTGGGTTAGTTTCTATGTACTCTATTCTGTATCATTGGTCTACCAATCTATTTTGGTGCCAATGCCATGCTGTTTTTGTTACTATTGCTCTGGAGTATAGTTTAAGATCTGGCATTGTAATGCCACCTGTTTCACTCTTCTTGCTAAGGATTGCTGTAGCTATTCTAGGTCTCTTATTTTTCCAAATGAATTTCATGACTGCTTTTTCTATTTCTATGAGAAATGTCATTGAGATTTTGATTGGAATTGCATTAAATCTGTATAGTGCTTTTGGTAGTATGGTTATTTTGACAATATTAATTCTGCCTATCCAAGAACAAGGGAGATCTTTCCATAAGTGGGGTTCATCCCAGGGATGCAAGTTTAGTTCGACATATAGAAATCAATAAATGTAATTCATCACATCAATAAACTTAAAGATAAGAACTATATGATCATCTCAATAGATGCAGAAAAAGCATTCAATGAAATAGAGCACCGCTTCATGTTCAAAACACTAGAAAAACTACGGACAACAGGAACATATCTCAACATTGTAAAAGCTATCTATGCTAAGCCCCAGGCTAATATCATTCTAAATGGAGAAAACATTGAAAGCATTCCCTCTAAAAACTGGAACAAGGGAAGGATGCCCTCTTTCACCACTTCTATTTAACTTAGTTCTTGAAACACTTCCCAGAGCAATTAAAGGAAAGAAATGAAAGGAATATGGATAAGAAAAGAAGAACTCAAATTAACACTATTTGCTAACAATATGATTCTATACCTAGAAGACCCAAAAAATTCTACCAGAAAACTTATAGAACTAGAAAATGAATTCATCAAAATAGCAGGATACAAAATCAACACCCATATATCAAAGGCATTTCTGTATATCAGTGACAAATCATCTGAAAGAGAAATGAGGAAAACTACCCCATTTACAATAGCCTCAAAAAATAAAATACTTGGGAGTCAACCTAACGAAAGCGGTGAAAGACATCTGCAATGAAAACTA